TCAAGTGTCTCTTGCTTAAAGAAATTTTAAGAATCTCCAATGATGGGGGAAGGACATTGGTTAATTATAATAAAGAGCTAGCCAATAAGAAACTGGACCTAGCCGGGCCAGGCAGTGTTTGAAAGAATACAGTTTCCGTGTAATTATTTCTGGGTATAAACTAGCCATGCGGGCGGCCGGGTGCCGGGGACGCAGCCCTGCCGCTCCTATTTCAACACTCCATTAATTAGGAGGCAGAGGTAAGTGGATCTCTGAGTTCCAGGAGCAAGTTCTAGAACAACCAGGGCTACACAGAGAAACTAATCTCGTGGGGGGGGGGGACTCCATCAAATTCTTGGGGAGGGGATTTCTTCTTTGTGGGTTTTGGTTTTGAGTGATGCTAGGGTGAGCCCAGGGCTCTTGCTAAGCACATGCCCTGCCCCTGAGCTACAATGCCAGTCTTTTTCGTGGTTTTGTTTTAGCATGGTGTCCCAACCCCTCCTCCCTTCCCATCAAATTCTTGCCAAAAAAAAAAAAAAAAAAACCTACCTCATAAGATGTATGAGGTTTTAGGTGTTTTTTTTTAAGACGTGTGAGGATATCAGTATGAGGTTGAGCATGAAGTTAGAGCTGTCCTGAGTACTTCTGTGCTTGGGCTAATGGAGAATGTTGCCTACTCCCTTTGTGCCTTCCATTACTCTTGCCCAGAACATGGCTTCTCCATGTTCCCTTGTCCTTTCTGCATGCTAACATACCCCCTTTCTAGGTGGAGTTGTCCATGGAGGACATCGAGACCATCCTGAACACACTCATTTATGATGGGAAAGTGGAGATGACTATCATTGCTGCAAAGGAAGGCACTGTTGGCAGTGTAGATGGACAAATGAAACTGTACAGGGCAGTCAACCCAATCCTCCCACCTACAGGCTTAGTCCGGGCACCCTGTGGACTCTGCCCCGTAAGTAAAAGCTGCTTCACTGTGTACTTTGATCACCACCATATGCAAATGCCACATAAAGAAACAACAGATACACAGCTTTCCCACCAGCAAGTGTCACATGAGCCATTCAAACTGCCACAGACTCTTAATGAACACATTGTTAATGGACAGGTCTTATATTATTTCTTGGAACATTGAGGGTAGGGACATGACCCTGAAATGGATACATTGGGACTAACCATTTCTCCTTTGTAAGGAGGGAAATAATGAAGGCTGTTGAGAAGCTACCATGAGCGAAACTTATTCTAATCCTCCTGTGTCCTTGGAGCTAGTGGCATCATTTTCCCTAGAGTGAGGGAACTTAGGGCTAAGTATAGCTCAGTGGCAGAGCCTATGCTCAGTGTACACAGGGCCTCTCACCAGGTTTCCCCTGGTGCCCTCCCCTCGGAGAAAGAAGAAACTCAGACTTAAGCAGAAAATGTTACTTCAAATAATGTGCCTTAGCAGTCATTCCTAGGAGGTTTACCAACACTGGGATGGACATTCTGAGACTAAAGAGAGCAAAAACACTTCCTGTTCCCGTGGCATTTTGGGGATATTCTTGGGCTGCTACTCTGCCATATTCATTATGCTAACCCTTGACCTTACCTGTAAGATCATTGTGACCCAGTTTCAACTCCTAGACAAAAGCCAACATCCTGGAAATTCTACTTAGTACCCTTCAAAGATAGTTAAACATAAAATAAGCTTCAATTTAGTAGAAATTAAGTTGTCCATAAGTATAGGACTCATTTCCTTTTACCCAGTGGGCAGGTGAGTAAGGTCACCTGTACACTGTGTTAATAAGGGCCTCCATGCCAGACAGGATAGTGCACACCTTTAATCCCAGCAGTTGGGAGGCAGAGGTAGGCAGAGCTCTGAGTTTCTGGCCTGCCTGTTCTACATAGTGAGTTGCAGGACCCTGTCTCAGAAAAACAAACAAATAAAGCAAACTAAAAATGAAAGGCTCATAGTTAACAGTGATCACAAAGCAGGCACTTTACAGTGTGCTCTTATAGTCCCAATGCCTTTCAAAGAGTGTTTCCTTTTCCTTCTGTTAATACTGCTTTAAATCAATGAGGCTTTGGTATTTTAAAACTTCAATTTGAATATGAACTTTTTATTTGTTTCTTTTAAAGGTTTTTGATGACTGCCATGAAGGTGGTGAGATTTCACCATCTAATTGTATTTATATGACAGAGTGGCTCGAATTTTAATAGAGAGCTGTGAATCTTACTTACTTTGGCAAATGAATTACTTGGAGAGCAAATAATTCATGATGGAACATCCAGTTTCTTTGAAAGCATACTTCACAATGATGGATACTGACTTGCTGCTATGAAAATGTATTTATTTATGAAGACAGAACACAAAGCAAATGAAATTTAATGAAGTTTAATAGGGAAGTCTCTTCTGCAGTAAAAAAATACCTTGAAGCTCTGGAAGACCAAGGAAAATGGAGCCACCAAATACTGTGATAACAGCTAGAGTGTGAAGATACACGCTTAAAGTTACTTCTTAAGGTCTTCATTGAAACTCATCGTATCAGGTTTATTACTACAGTTTCTGTTTGTTTTTCCTGGGTTTCACTGAGAAATTACAAGTGTTGCAGCAGGGAGCTGCTGATGGGAGTGTGTGCAGACTTGGGGTCTGAAGGTAGAGTGGACATCCCTTTCCACACTGCCGGGTTCTCCTCACCTCCATGCCCTTTCACCCATGTGGGCATGCTGTTGTCTGGGACATGTCTTCAGCTCAGTGATACTCCATCCTAAAGGGGATCATCTCACAAGTCCTTCATTGTTAATGCTGTAAAATTCTCTGTATGGTTTAATTTTTGTTCTAGTAGGGAGGTGTGGGCCGCATCCCGCCACCCGGCTAGCTTAACCCCCTGAATAACCACACGGAAATTGTATTAATTAAATTACTGCCTTGCCCATTAGCTCTAGCCTCTTATTGGCTAACTCTCACATCTTGATTAACCCATTTCTATTAAATCTATGTATCACCACGTGACTGGCTTACCGGGAAAGATTCAGTATGTCTGACCTGGCAGCTGGCTCTATGGTGGCTCTCTGACTCTGCCTTCTTCCTCCCAGCATTCAGTTCTCTTTTCCCCAACTACCTAAGTTTCTGCCCTATCAAAAGGCCAAGGCAGTCTCTTTATTTAACCAATGAAAGCAACACAAATATAAAAGGACCTCCTACACCAAATTTTACTATTTGCTGAAATTTTTCCAGATTCTTACTTTATGTCTATAGTATGATCCTCTCTGCCACCAGCATCAAATTCACATTTTGTAATCTAATCCCATGTGGAATGTGATAAGTAGGACCTTTGGAAGGGGAGAGATGGTAAGTGTAGAGTCCTCATGAGTGGAATCAGGGCCTGTACAGAAGAGACCCAAAGTGTTCTGTTGGCCTCTGTTAGGCGACAATACAGGGAGAAGAATAAGGAAGTGGGCCCTTGTTAGATCGTATATCTGCCAGCGCACTGGACTCCCCCGCTTTTTGAATCATGATAATTAAATATATTTTCTTGATAAACCATCAGTCTATAGCAGCAGTTCTCAGGTTGAACAACCCTTTCAAGGGGTCGTCTGAGACCTTCAGAAAACACAGATATTTACACTACAATTCATAACAGTAGCAAAATTACAGTTATGCAATAGCAACAAAAATAACTTTATGGTTGTGGGTCACCACAACATGAGTGACTGCATTAAATGTTGCATTAGGAAAGTTGAGAACCACTATAGTGTTCTATCAAAGCAGACAGAAGAGATAGTATCTAATCATTTAACTAAATTGTAACTAAAACTAGCTGTATATGGTGGTACACTCCTTTCATACTAGCACTTGGGAGGCAGAGGTAGGCAGGTCTCGGTTAGTTCAAGACCAGCCTGGACCACATAGTGAATTTCAGGACAGCCAGGGCTATAGAGAAAGAGACCCAGACTCAAAAATAAATACAGATCATTGCTCTTTAATGTAAGGGGTAGGAACCTATCTTACAGTGTTTTAGATTGGTCTCTTTTTTTCCTTAATTGTTTTCTAAAAAACCATGGTGTGATGTGTCTAAGCAGAAAACCATCACTACATAGTTCGTTAGCCCCAGCCATTGGGCACTGGAAAACACTTAAGTTAGTTGCCTTGCTGTTATGCAGAAGATAGCCATATATCTTTAAGGATCTCAGCAGATGATTTTTACTTTGTGTCTTTTTTTTTTTTTTTTTTTTGAGACAAGGTTTTTCTGTGTGACTCTGGCTGCCCTGGAACTTTGCAGATCAGGCTAGCCTTGAACTCAGATCCACCTGTCTCTGCCTCCTCCACTATGCCCAGCTTACTTTGTGTCTTAAAAGTTTATTTATGCAAGCCAAAAGCATGGGCCAACTGAAAGGGCTCACAGCCCACTCTTCTTTGAAGCTGAGCTCTACCATTTGGTAGTATTCTAAGTGTACAGCATCATTGGAGTTACCTTGAGATAAATGGGACCAATAAAATCCAACTTGCTAGATCATTTTATCAATGAATTCTGTGTCCAGCTCTATAGAATAAGCATTTAATGACACCAGCTCTTAAGTGTTAGATTATATATTAAATGCAGGTTCCTCTTCTACCTCTAGTGGGGCTGACATGGTAAAAAAGTGTTCACTCTTCCTAGACCTGCCTGGCTTATCCAATAAGCACTAGTCTTATTTTCCTAGAAAACTAGATATGTAGGAGACTTACAAAAGGGAGAAAGAATTTTTTTAAAAAAATGTTTAATATGCTATTTTGTCTTTTTTGTTTTGTTGGAGAAGATTCTCACTCTAGCCCACACTACCCTGGAGTTCACTTTATGGTCTAGGCTGGCCTTGAACTCATGGTGGTCCTGATTTGGCTTCCAAGTGCTGGGATTACAGGCATTTAGCAGCCATACATGGCTTTGTATTGTCTTGATGATTAGATATTGTTTTAAATTTGCAGTCAGTGGCTAGAAGTGTTCCTTGCCTCACCAGAATAAAGAGATACTTTAAAAGTTTTTCTTCATAGCATATTTTTTACTGAATATTTTTTGCTTGTAGCATATTTACTCTTGAGTACTGAGAGAGATAGATAAATTTAAAAAAACATAGCAACTATACTATAAATAAAATGAATTTGCCTACAGAAATAAGCTAGAACCCGAAGAAATTGTGGGCATCTAAAAACATGATGCCACAACATCAAACTGCAGATGAAATCCAAATACTTCAGTCTTTCCCACCTGAGAACACATTCTAAGTCTGTTGAGGATTCTGGTTTTTTTTGTTTTGTTTTTTTTTTTTGTTTGTTTGTTTTTTCGAGACAGGGTTTCTCTGTGGTTTTGGAGCCTGTCCTGGAACTAGCTCTTGTAGACCAGGCTGGTCTCGAACTCACAGAGATCCGCCTGCCTCTGGTCTCGAACTCACAGAGATCCGCCTGCCTCTGCCTCCCGAGTGCTGGGATTAAAGGCGTGCGCCACCACCGCCCGGCGAGGATTCTGTTTTAAAGTGATCCTACATTGCCAGTCATTGTGTGCTTGCTTTTAATGCCAGCTCTTGGGAGGTAGAGGCATGAGCAAGTGGATCTCTGAGTTTAAAGCCAGCCTGATCCTACAGAGCGAGTTCCAGGACAGCCAGCAATACACAGAAAAACCCCGTCTCGAAAAACAAGACAAAATTTGACATCATAAGTCTATTTAATGGTTTTTAATGAATAGTTATGTGGCTTCTCCTACAGAATTTCCAATTTGACAATAAATGTTTTATATAAGAGTTTTGATGGTGATCGATTAAGCAGAGTAATCAACAACTCAATTTGTGATGGGGCATACACCTGGTATGTGGAGGCCTCTGGCCTAACCACCATCAGCTCAACAGTGAAGGGAAGAAACATGGTTTCAGATTTACTATATGGCAGGTGAAGGACAAATACAAAATATGTGCCCTGCAGCAGTGTGGTCCAGTAAGACAGGGTCTTGAACTCAGTCCTGCCTCTACCTTCCTCCTGCTGGGTTAGAAGTTTGCACTGTAACATCTGGTCAAGGAGCATTTTCTATTATGATGGAAACAGTCGATATTTAGTGTTTAGTACAGTGACCCCGAGCCAGCTGGCTGCCACTTGAAATAAGAGCCTAAAGAACTAAGGTTTAGTTGGGCACTTGTGGCACACGCCTTTAATCCCAGCACTTAGGAGGAAGAGGCAGGCGGATCTCTGTGAGTTTGAGGCCAGCCTGGTCTACAGAGTGAGTTCTAGGAAAGGTTCCAAAGTTACAGAGAAATCCTGTCTCAAAAAACCTGTCCAAAAAAAAAAAAAAAAAAAAGATGGTGCAGCTCTCAACAGAGCACTCGCTTGAATGCTCTCCATCAGGGGATTACTGAATCTCACACTGACGTTTATCAGTCTATAATTAAGATTTTAAACAACTTATTTGAAAGTTAGGAAAAAAGCATTAATTTAAAAACATTAATAGATATATCTAATTTAGTCAGCAGACATTTCAGCAGTGATTGGACCAAACCTATAATCCAAGTTTGAGTCTACTTGAATTTGAGATTAGTAATGATTTACTTGCTTTTGTTTTTAAATTCTTAAAAAATTATTAACTTATATAGATAACATTAGTTAATTTGTTTTCTGCCACAGAATAAAAATATATTCACTTGCCAGGCAGTGGTGGCAAACACCTTTAATCCCAGCATTTGGGAAGCCAGCCTGGTCTACAGAGTGAGTTCTAGAACATCCAGGGCTCTTAGACAGAGAAACCCTGTCTCAAAAAACACTTACAGTAGACCTATGTGATTGTCTCTCCTCCAAAGATACCTACTGTTAAAAGTTAAAGAGTCTCCTGACTTAGATTACATTCAGAACCCCCACATCATCTCACAACAGCTTTGCACCCCATCTAGGGATAAAAGTGTGGAAACTCACATTTCTGCATCCATCACAGGTTCTGCATCACCAAGTTTAAGAACACTGGAGATCTTTGGCACCACAATAGTCAGAAAATCCTGGGAAATAAAAGTTTTTATTTTTTTACATTATAAACGTGAGTGACAATGTCATGATGAAACCATCTTGTATTCCAATATATGTTAATATAAAGTACATTATTTTAAAAGGGGCTCTTTTTTTAATGAAAGTGTAAGAAAAATCTTGGAATGCCTGAATGATCTCTAGAAGTTAAGAGGTTGAACTCTTCACAGAATTGAACTTGCATTGTAGAAACTTCTTTTGGAAGATAACTTAAAACTTAACAGTACAAATTGCTCCCTTACGTTCATTTTGGTTATCTAAGGCTTTTTCTTTTTCTCTGTGTAGCCTGTCCTAGAACTTGCTTTGTAGACCATGCCTTGAACTCACAGAAATCCACCTGCCTCTGCCTCCCAAGTGCTGGGATTAAAGGTGTGCCCCACCACTGCCTGTACTATAGAGAATCTAAAATGGTTATGACTAAATTCACAAATGGATAACTTGGTCTTTGTCTTGTAGCTTTTCCAAATTGTTCAATTACAGAGCTGCCAGCTGTCATACTTCATGTAGGGATTATATGCATATAGTCCCCAGCTTAGAAAAAAGACCAACACTTGTCACGTTCCTGTACTGCAGCACTCCCAAAGCCCTGATCCTGCGAGTCTGCCTCAAGTTGGTATACAGGTGACAAGCTATGCAGATATCTGTCCCCTGCAGCTTCCTGGCTCAGGATCCTTATATGCTGGTCTCTCATCTTGTCAGAAACCCCTGGGATGGGATCAGGGATCTGAGTGATGAAGACCCAAATTTGAGTTTGCTATCTTGAGCCAGCATGAAGCAGCAGCTAGAGGTTTTTTTTTTTTTAATATTTATTTATTTATTTATTTATTTATTTATTTATTTATTTATTATGTATACAATATTCTGTCTGTGTGTATGTCTGCAGGCCAGAAGAGGGCACCAGACCTCTTTACAGATGGTTGTGAGCCACCATGTGGTTGCTGGGAATTGAACTCAGGACCTTTGGAAGAGCAAGCAATGCTCTTAATCACTGAGCCATCTCTCCAGTCCCAGCAGCTAGAGTTTTGAATTCTAGGAACATTCTGGACTTTTAATCATGTTTTTTTACCCCAGTAAGAGAAAATTTTACTTCAAAATGAAAAGGTGTCTCTCATACGTTTCATAAAAATTTGTTTAGTTTTTGTTTCTTTGGGTTTTTTTTTTTTTTTTTTCGAGACAGGGTTTCTCTGTGGTTTTGGAGCCTGTCCTGGAACTTGCTCTTGTAGACCAGGCTGGTCTCGAACTCACAGAGATCCGCCTGCCTCTGCCTCCCAAGTGCTGGGAGTAAAGGCGTGTGCCACCACCGGCTTCTTTGGGTTTTTTGTTTTGTTTTTTGAGACAGGGTTTTACTAAATATGTAGCTTAGGAAGGCCTCAAATTCCAGATCTACTTTCTTCAGCTCCCCAAGTACTAGGATGTCGGGAGTGGGTCACACCTTGCAGAAGCTACTGAGTTATAATTTGGAATGAGACTCAGGATACCTGAGTCTACTTGCTGTTTCTTTACTGAGACAGGGTCAGGCTAGCCTTCCCCTCCTGGTCCCTCCTTTCTCAAGTGCTGGAATTACAGGGACACACACCATGTCTGGTTCTACTTCTGACTTGCTCCCTGGATCAGCAGGATGGCTAAACAAACTCCCTCTGTGTTCCCTATCAAACAGAAAATACTTCTATAGTTAGAGCTTTTGAAGAAGAGTTAAACTATGAGAAATGAAAATGCTAGTAGCTTAGTGTGAGTGTTCAAACAGGCTTGTTTTTCAGGCACTTCTGTAGCATAAGTAGGCATTTCAAGTTTAGTACTGTGTGGCATGTTGGAGAGCAGGAGTCATCCCAACTATTCTGGTACTTTTAGCATAGACTTCACCGCACTAATTAGTTCAGGAAACTCCGTGTTCTGAAAGTGACCACGGTTGGTGAATTTGTACAATTTGGCATCCAACCTATCTGCCACTTCTTCTTGTTCCTTCCAGGGAAGGAAGGGGTCATCAGTGGAGCCAAACTGTACAATGTGAGGGCAGTTGGCCTTGATCTTCTCCCACTGCCAGGGGCGGCTGAAGTACCCTACAGAAAAAAAAATAGCCTATCGATATGCATGAATCATCACCCTAGATATCTAAAAGTATCTAGTGGGGGCCCTCACAGAGGTGCAAAGGATCAGGGGCTTAAATTCAGGACAGTTCTTTGGTTTTCCTATCTGTAGGACTTGATACCGTACTGACTTGCGAAGACAAAGAGGCTCAAGTAAAACCAGGTCCTGGGATTCATTCTAGACTTCAGATTGGAAAAAAAATAGGTGGCAAATGTCTCACTTGCTATTATATAATATAAATATAAATTTGCTGTTATATTTTTAGGGCTATCTGAGAGAGAATAACTACTTTGTAAACTTGGCAGTCTATCCTGTGCCTAGAGAAGGGCTTTCCTGGGTGTTCTCCCTAAAGACTTACCACTTGCACGCTCGTTTTCATCTCCCAAGTCTGAAGTGTATGCAGACACCAGTATAAGAGCATATACCTGATGTGTCTCTGCATACCTGGCATGAGAAAGATAGTGTCAGTAATATATGGTCTTATTAAATCTGAAAAGCAGTAAGCCATCTGATGTGAGTTCACAGAAAGGAGGTATATGCTACCGAGACAGATGCAAGCAAGAAAATAATCACTGCTGTGTGCACTCATCCACCTTTAGTATGTGTCTACATTCTGATGAGATCCTAGACTTGGCCCCAGAGCATGGAATTCAGAGAAATGGGATTAAGGCCCAGGAACCTGCAATGTAAGAAAAACTGGACAATGCAAGAAAAGTACTTCCGCTGCCCCTGTACATGTGTTCTCATTGTGTCGTATTACAACTGTCCCCACGCCCAGACAAACGATCACTGTCTCCTTAAGGGCAGGAAAAGCCTTACTGCTCTGTGAACAGCACCCTCTGTAGGCCACCAGCCCACTATCTACAGATGCCCTTGCTCTGCCAAGAGCAGGCCAAGGAAAGACAGACCTTTGAAGAGGAAATGTTTAGGGCTAGAGTTTCATTCTTGAGAATAAAGTTCTCCCACCCCCTACCTGCTTACTCAAGAAATATCAAACCACAGAAGACATGACAGGAAAAGACCCAGACTGATTGAGGTTTCCACCCTTTACACTTACCTTAGTACATGTCCCCTACGAATAACCTTAGTACCATTATCATACCCAATCATATACCGCTGCCTGTATTCTTTATAAAGTTCAGGTCAGTTCCCTAAGCTAAATTCATTTTCTCACAGTTAAACTGAGATTATATATTTTAGGCAAGATAGCCTTGTCACTTCAGGGACACATGATGTGTGTCCCACTATCAATGATACTGTTTGATTGCTTGTTAAGGTGTTCCCAGCACTTTCCATTGAGAAAGATCAATATCCCTTAGTAGTTAATAAATCAGCTAGCATGTCCCGTATGATTGTACCAGCTCCCTGTTTCTTCACACCCTTACACTGATGGTTTGCGCATCATTTTTCTTTGCCACTCCTAACTTTAGAAGCCAATTTTTAGAAGGCTGCTGACAATCCTGATAAATTCAGAGGACTTAGAAGATATCCATCTTTACCAATGGCTGGTAAACAAAAGGACAGAGTATGCTACAACCCATCCCCTTGACCTGTGTAGCTGAAAGGTCATAAAATGCAAGATTCCATGACATACAATTCGCATGATATTTTGAATAACTGCTTGGAACAGACTTTGTTACCAGGGTAGGAGGAAATATGGAAAAAGCCCAACCTGAAACAGCTTGGCCAGCTAATCCCTTACCCCCTAGGCTAGTGGAGAAGGTAGGAGATTTTTATAGAAGCATATGTGTGTGCTGTGAATCCCAAGGATTGGGGGAGGGGTTGTAGGTAGGTAGGGGAAGCAACCTCTAGTCTCCAGGAGGTACTTATTGAACATCTACTATGTCACACTCTCTCCTAGGCACTGCGATTCCTTGTCAATGAACAAAGTCCCACTTTCATGGAGCTTCTATTAAATTAATAGGGGCAGATAAGAAATCAATGTATATTAGATGATAAAGCACTATAGGTAATGAAATACAAAGGAGATAGAAGCCAGCAGAGTGAGGCTGCTCTTTTATATGGAATTGTTAAAGATCTCACCCAAAATAGAACATTCGAGCAGAAACACGGTAAGAGAAAGTCAGTCAGCTTTTAAGAGAGTGTCCCTGCTAGAAGGCTGAGCAGGATAAGGAAGGCAGGTGTGTACTTGGCATTTTCCAGGAACTACAATGACGTCAGCATGCCTGGTTGGGAGGAGAAAAGGGGTGAAGGGAAAGAGCTGAGCAACAGGAAGCTTCAGAGCTACAGAAACTTTAAAAGGATCACTGCACCTGGTAAGAGCAGTCTGTTTCTTCCAATCCCTTAACAAACAAGGAAGAAATTGGGGCAGATTAGGTTACCACTTTTGAGGTCAGCACTGTTCCTCTGCAATGGAAACTTAAGAAACACAACTGTTTCCCCAGCAAGCATGACTACAGACCACCCCTGGGGCAGCAGTCCCACAGGGTCATACCTCATGGCTGCGATAGCCCCGGAGCTGTGGCCTATGATGATGGTCTTCTCATCACAGTGCAGTTCTGTCTCCATGAAGGGCAGCCAGATGCTCTCCCGGGCTGTAACTGTGTTCAGGGTAAAACAGTCTGGTACTCAGAGGGGGAGTCTGTAAGTGATGCTGTCCCACCTCTAATGAACAGCAGCTCACCACTAATGAACTGAGGCGGAAGGGGGGGGGATGGGGCTGTTATCAGAGCCTAAGATCTCTGTCTTAAGGTTTTAGTGAAGAGCTTTGCTTCCCCCGCCACGTTCTTATTAAAAAAAAAAAAAAAAAAGGAAATAATACATTACAATTGAGGTGAAGCTTCCCCTCTTTTTCGAGAAAGAGCCTCACTATGTAGCACAGGCTAGTATGTAATTTGCTGTGTAGCCCACATCAGAATTCCCTTGTCTCAGGCTCCCAACTGTCAGGTTTAAAGGCATATGCCACATACTGACCTCAACTCTGAAATTTTCATGTAAAAATTTAAACTTCGCAAACAAATACCCACAAGGTAGAGATACAGTTCAGAGGCAGAACACTTGCCCAGGATGTGTGAGACCCCTAGGTTCAGTCTCAGTACTGAGAAACACACAAACACACACACACAAAACCTCTTGACAACGTTCTAAAGCCCATGTATAGTATATCTTTCTTTCCTGAACCAAGATGCACCCATAACAAAAGGAGGAAATCTTATATTTTTAAATATTTAGGAACTCAACTGTAAGGCTTTATTTTATCTGTAGTTTTACCTACATTTTGCCTGAAAATGTCTGCAGACATTCAACAGGGACAATAAAGTTGCTAGCTTACAAAGTAAAAAATTAAATTTTACCATGCCCAGGTGCTTTTCTTGGTTCTTCCTGAAATCTTCCATAGTTTTTGGCTTACGTCTGCCTCCTGGAGCTCCTTGCTTTATTTGTTCTTAGTATGTATTTATCTTTGTTCTTTCACTATGATACTCCAGCTTCCCTCCCCTCCCCACAGATGGTGAGCTCAAACTCTAATGGATGAGGCTTTCAAAAGCAAGTTTAAAACTTACTTGGGTCAGGCATGTTTCTAGCCAGACACTGGAAACCCGGAACCTGAGATTTAAGGGGGAAGAAAAAGCTATAATAAAGAGCTTAATTCCAACTAAAACTCAAAAAAAAAAAAAAAAAAGTGACACCTGATGTGATCTTGCTCAATTCAGCAAAGCAAGTATTTGCTGACTATGAAATGAGATGAATTAAGCTGTGTTACAGATGAATATACACCCATGGTTTTTTGTTTTGTTTTGTTTGTTTGGTTTTTTTTTTTTTTACACCCATGTTTTGTAGAACTCCACAGGGACCTGTGTCTGCGCTTGGAACCTGTTTATCTTAGGGCCTCCCATCTACGGAGAAGGCCCAAGTGGATGTGCTAGAGACAGAATGACCTGAGCCAAACAGACTGCACTCCAGAAAAAATTAAAAAATAATATAGATACACCATAGAGACAGTTGGGCATCCCACCCTGCTGGCCATTTCCAGCTGGACCTTTGAGTTCGGTAGCTTTGCCCATAGCGTTCAGCCGCAACCCCGAAGTTATATTCCAAACGGACTCTATTTTCTCCTGAAATTCTGTTCTAGAGGCCAAAGCAGGAAACTGTCTAACTGCCAGATGATGGAAGGGAGCTTCTTTTCTTAAAAGTCAAGCAGCACAGGATGAGCTAGGGTGCAATGCTGTTTCTATAAAGCTCACACAGGAGCCAAATTCAACAATATCAGACAAGATTATACACATGGGTCCCTGAGTTCGATTCCCAGACCCATGTATAGGCAGAAAGAAACTGGTTACACAAAATTGTCTTCTCACCTCCACAAGCACCTCCCACATACAATAAAGAGGAGCAAAATGTACTACAGACTGTCATAGGGATGGGGCAGGAGGCAGGCAGATCAGTTAGGAGATACTGGCAATGTTCTAGAGTTTAAATTGGGCGAAGAGTGTAGCTAGATGGCACACAATCAAAGACCTTGGCCTTGAATAGCACCGATTTTTTTTTTTTGGTCTGTTTGGTAGCGTATTACACGTTATATACATCCTTTGTATATATCAAAGGTTACGTGGTGATTTTTTTAAAAAAATCTAAAATAATGAATATAAACATAAAATTATCTGGGAAGGCTCGAATCTGAACTGGCAGTAGATTGGGGTAAGGAGGGGGCATTCTCTGTATAACAGGGTTCTTCTCAGTCTCAAGAACTGAGACCTCAGCTTTTTGGGCTGCTTCGCCAGGCAAGATCCTCGCCACTAGTTTAGATCTAAGGCTTGAGGTGCTAGCATCGTCGAGTACTCATACACGGTGCTAATCTGGAGGAAGGTGGGCACAGGCTCGAGCCTTGCCCATCGTCCTCCCTCCCTCCGCTCCGCGCCAAGCTGACCGCAGGGCAGTGGCTGAAATTCCTTACCTGCTCCAGTCCCTTTCTCACCCAGCCGTACCAGCCCTGGGTGGCCACATCCCCGCCTCCGTTCCCGGGAACAATCACTGCCTTGCTAGGTGACGCCATGAACGCTGTCGCCGGAGACCCCTGCCCAGCTCGGACCAACAGTGCTCAAATCGAGACTGCATCCGGCCGGGAGCCCGCACTAAGGCCTTCTGGGAATTGTAGTCCTTGGATGCCCGCAGGCACTCTTCCTTCTCTGTCTAGAGTACAGGCTGCCAAACTTAAACCCTGTGAATTGCCATCAAATATCACTCACCTTTGATTTCCTTTTTTCTAGCGTCCGCATACTCCACGTCCCTTATGAAGTACTGGCAAAAATATTCTCATAATGTGCTATCTTATTATTATGGAACTTTCGTTCGTTCAAGACAATCTCATTATGTAGCCCACCCCAACACTGGCCTGGGGCTCTCTACGTAGACCAGACTGGCCTAGAACTCACAAAAACCTTCCTGCCTCTGCCTCTTAAGTGCTGGCATTAAAAGAATATGTCATCTTATTCAGCAAAAATTATTATTTATGTGTATGCACACCACATGCACGGGTGTGCCGCTAAGAAGTTTGGAGGAGGGTGTTGTCCTCTGGAGATGGAAGTAATCAAATGTGAGTGCTGGGAATCGAACTCCTGTATTCTGGAAGAGCAGCAGCTACACTTAATGGCTGAACCCCATTTTTGTTTCTTACAATTTTTGTGTGGATGCCACACTGCCGGAGATGGTAAAGCATAGCCCTCCTCCACACGTGGTTCCTGAGATGCAGGAAGCAATTCCCTCCAGGAAACCCAGTGGCAGCTAAATGAGTGCGTTACTTGAGGGCCAAGGAGAGAACACCTACGTGCCCCGAGGGCCACTTCCATGGCATCTGCATATGCATTTTGCAATGTTACAGCTGATTCTGGTTATAGCAATTCTACTAGTGTACTTGCTCTTTATATTCCTTTTTCCTTCCACTCCAGTGGCTTCTGAAAAAAAAAATGGATGTGCTGTACGATAATATGAACCTTCTGATCTGATAGAGCGGGCGGGCTCTAAAGCTGTAAAGCAGGTCATGGGGAAAACTGACTGATGAAAGAATTGGGGGGAATTTGGGGACGACCTGAAGGAATCTGTCCTCTCATTCTATCAGGTGGGTCATGGAGACTGAACTCAGGTTGTCAAACCCAATTGCTGCTGGCTTTTTTCACTCGTACACAGTCTGGTGCCCTGCCCATGAACTGGAACTGTCCACATTCAGGGTGGGTCTTTCTACCTCGATTAATTAAATGACTAAATGAAGACAGTCTCCTACAGACCTGCCTGCGGGGAACCTGGTCTACACGATTCCTCATCAAGACCCTTCTCAGGTGATTCTGGGTTGTGGCTAGTTGACAATTAAAACTAGCGAACACAGAGAGTTATTAATGAAACCAGAGTAGGGAAGAAGGGAGGGAGGGAGGAAAGGACACTTTGCAAAATGGGTGAAGCAGGCAAACCAGGAAAAGAACACAGAACCAGTTGTCTTGAGTCTGTTCCTTGAGGTTTTTATTGAGGTGGGCATGAAAAATGAATTCTTCCAAGAATAATGTGAGCCTTGGAAGAGCAATCAGTGCGCTTAACCATTGAGCCACCTCTCCAGTCCCTGGAAGGTTTTTTTTTTTTTTTTTTTTAATGAGGGGAAAGGGAACATAAAAAGGGGGAAGAAGAGGAGGGAGGAGGAGACTGGGCTCTGGGGACAGGAGCAGTAGAAGAGAGAGAGAGAGAAAAAGGGGAGAGAAGGGGATAAAGACAGAGAGGTAGGCAGAGAAGCAGAGAAAGAGAGAGACAGGAAGAGAGGAGGTGGGCAAGACCCTTTTAAAAGTAAATGTAGTGCATGTGCACAGGAGGTGCTCTTAGTGGCTACAGTTGAGGACTTTTCTTGTCAGAACCCCAAGGGCAGGCCAGTACAGATGCATAAACACAGCAGCTCTGGAGGGAAAGGTATCCTGACTTTTTGGGAAGTCAGGCTATGCCTGAAGCTGCAGTGTCACGGTGGGGGATTGTTTCCCTGCAGGATGTAGCAATGCTGGTCCTCGCAGAGTCAGCACAGCTGAGCTCTGCTCTGTTACCCTAGGGAAACGTTCTAGCAGAGCACTTTTGTGGCCCAAGGTGTTGTTTCTTCAGCTTCACTCTGCTAAAGGGGAAACCCTTGCAGAAATATAGCAATCTCCTCCCCCTTCTAACAAGTTGTTACTCCATGCTGGCAAAAGATCTTAACCCAAAACTCTTAAGAAAGATATTTATTTGGGAAGGAGGAGTCCAGGAGAATGACTGCTTCTGTCAGGGTGGGCAAGGACAACCCACAACTGAACAGGCACGGGTAGGGGAGCGGGGCTTATATAGGGCTTCTTAGGGACGGAATTTTCCAGATTTTCTGCTCAGGGATTGGTTAGTTTGCCTGGTTAGTTTAATTGATCAGGGGCAGAGGTGGCTCTGGTTTCAGGGCCAAACTGTACTTCTTTCACTGGCCCTTTCTAGCTTTTGGCTCTATTTTCAGGGCCGGGGCATACTTCTTTCACCGACTCTAGTTCTAGCGCCAAAGTGTATTTCTTTCGCTCTGGTTTCAGGGTCAGGATGCATTTCTTTGGCTCTGGGTTACAGGGATAAAGTGTTTCTTTCACTGGTTCAGGTTTTAGAGCCAGAGTGTGTTTCTTTCAGGGCTACAGTATTTCTTTCAGTGGCTCTGGTTTCAGAATCAGGGTGGGTTTCTTTGGCTGGCCCTTTTACCCTACAGTTAGGTTTTCTATTGCTGTAAAGAGATACTATGGCCACAGCATCACTTATGAAGGAAAACATTTAATTGGGGCTAACTTAGAATTCAGAGGTTTAGTCCACTATCATCATGTCAGGAAACATGGTGGCATGCAGGTGGGCATGGTGCTGGAGAGGTAACTGAGAGTTCTGTATCTTGATCCATAGGCAACAGAAGGAGACGGTGAATGCTAAGTAGAGGGACTGTTCCTCTAGCTTTCTCTGCTTCTTTCTAATAATTTTCAGTTCTTCTTTCTGATTTACTCAGGCTGGCTAATTTATCCCCCTCCCCTGATAATAACAATAATCAGAAAATTGGTTTTATCAACCACTTGATAATCATTCTAAGGAAACTAATAGTTTATAGGTGAAAGGTGACCATAACTCTAGTTTAGTAGTGTTCTCTGATAGTCTTGGTCAGTCTGACTGTCTCGGTCATTCTATATGACTCCCATACTGACTGGGAAGAACAGTGTCATCTTCTCTATGGTACCAAACTCTTTTATGTTTCCACGCTTCTTTTTGATGGGGGGCTGAGACTGTACAACTAAAGCTGTGTGTTCTGTATATGTCAATATGTCAGGCTAGAATGAAAAGAAGACTCACACCCATTGCTATGAGAGGACAGGCGATATTGCTACCTTTGTCAAGTCATAATAAGTTAAATCATCATTTCTCTAATTAAAGGACCTTTGTAACAAAACAGGTACACTCATATAAATCAAATGCTTCTAAAATTCCCCCAAATAAGGGCATCCAATCTCTTTGAACATGAAATTTGAAAAATACCGTTTCTATAGAAATTATTGGGGCAGAAGTAATTCAGGTTCAAAAACTTTAGGGAAATCTTTGACAAATAAAATTATTTTTTGTTATAAAAAGTTATTTGCAAAGAAAAGCTATTCCTTTTTCTCAGGATGTAATGCACATGCACATTTTATTCTACACGGACATGTTTCCTTAGGAAGAAATTAGAGTTTCCCAAGCATATTTAAGGTTACAAGATATTGTTAACACTAATGATTAAAGATGATGAAAATATAAATTTGTTAAACAATGAATTATTATTCTGACAAGACTTTTATGCAAATAGTAACATTTCATAGTAACATCTACTTAAACTAAGTTCTATGATTTGTAGTAGTTAAAAAGTTTGACTTATCTGGGTGTGATTGTGGGGTTTTTTTTGGTATTTAGCTATTCATTTATTATGTGTGTTTTTTATTTATTTTATTTTTTACATACAAATCCTATTTCCCCCTCCTTCCCATCTTCCCATTCCTTCCACCTGACCCTCATCCCACCCCCACCCCCATCTGCTCCTCAGAGAGGGTAAGGCCTCCCATGGGGAGTCAATGAGTTCTGTCACATCACCACATTGAGGCAGGACCAAGGCCCTTCCCTCTGGGTGTCTAGGCTGAGAAAGGTAATTCTCCATGGAAAATGGGCTCCAAAAAGCCAGATCGTTCATTAGGGATAGCTCCTGGTCCCAGTGCCAGTAACCCCACAACTGCCCAAGCCACACACTGTCACCTGCATTCAGGGGGCCTAGATTGGTCCTATGCAGGCTCCCCAGTTGTCAGTTTGGAGTCAGTGAACTCCCACTACTGCAGGTCAGCTGTTTCTGTGTGTTTACCCATTGTGGTCTTTACCCCCTTTCTCATATTATTGCTCCTCTCTCTCTTCGACTGGACTCCGGGAACTCTGTCCAGTGGCTAGTTGTGGATCTCTGCATCTGTTTCCATCAGTAATTGGATGAAAGTTTCAGGAGCTCATGCCTATTTTCCTTTCCTAGGGTCCTCTTTGTTTTTCAGCTTCTCTGGGGTTGTAGATTGTAGGCTGGTTATCTTTTGCGTTATGCCTAATATCCAGTTATGAGTAAGCACATACCATATTTATCTTTCTGGGTTACCTCACTCAGGATGTTTTTTTTCTATTTTTGCCCATTTGCCTGCAAATTTCAAGATGTCATTTTTTTTTCTTTTTTTACTACTGAGTAGTACTTCATTATGTACTTTACCCAATCTTTGATTGAGAGGCATCTAGGTTGTTTCCAGGTTGTGGCTATTACGAATAATGCTGCTATGAACATAGGTGAGCACAAGTTCTTATGGTATGAGTGTGCATCCTTTAGCTATATGCCTAAAAGTGGTATTGCTGGGTCTTGAGGCATATTGATTTCCAGTTTTCTGAGAAACCACCATACTGATTTGATGGCCTGTGTTTTTAATCCTGGCACTCAGGAGGCATATGAGGACAGCAGAAAGCAGATGTCTATGAGTTCCAGGCGATCCAGAACATACTCAGGCCTGACTTAAGGAACGGTTTGAATTAATAATTAATTGAGCTATTCAATGGATATTCTTTGAATTGCCTAAACATTTCTTAGTATAAATTTAGGATTTTAGAGTTTTGGGGCTAGAGAGTTGGTTCAGCGGTTGAGTGTGTCGCGGTGGAGCTCAGTTCCCAGCACTCACGTTAGGGGGATACACAACTGCCTGTAACTCTAGCTCCATGGGGCCCCATATTCTCTTCTGGCCTCTGTAGGCCCTGCACACTCATGTGCACACATGCAAACACTGACACACAGGCAGGTCTAATTAAAAATAAATCTTCAAAATGATTTGAGAATTTGCTGGGTTTTTTTCTTCTCCACTTGTAAGAAAGTATAAAATGACTGCGGCGGTCACAGAAACTTGTATTATCCATAAAAGTGGACGCTGTTAGTCTCCTGAACTGCTTGAATACGAGGACTGTACCCAATTACTCATTTCCTTGTTGGATGTCAGGGAGATGAAACAGGCTCTTCTGAGCGCAGAAGCCATGGCAGCAAGTGAGAACGGAAAGTTTGGTCCTGAGAGGAACTGCACCTGCCACGCTCAGAAAGAACTTCAACTAGCGGTAGAGACTCACTCCCTGCCACCTCCAAGGCCCTTCCCGCAGGCTGATGGCCTCTTCCGGACAACTTCGGGTTCCTCTGGGGCTACACGTCACCCGTCTCGCTTCCCGGTAACTAAGGTGACCGGAGGGACTTCCCTCTGAGGCAAACGAATGTCGTGGTGAGTAAGGGCGGACGCCGGAGAAGCGTTGGATGCATTTGGACGACGGACCCTCAGGCGCCGAGGTCCTGCGCAGGGGCAGGAGAAGCGTCTAGGGCTGTGTTCGAGGACGCACGTACCCTAAAGAAACTCTGAATTTTGAAGTTTCGAGTGTGAGAAACGACTGCCTTGCCCTATTCAAAGATGGCGGCGCAGCATTTCTGACGGTTTCGCTCTCATGCGTCAGCCAGAGAAGCGCTCTCTGATTGGCTAAGACAAGGCGCCGTGGAGTGACGTATGGGAGCACTGACCAATCGACTGTGAGCTGAGGTGGACTTGGCGGTGGAAGCCGGAGCCGAGCGCTGGAGTCCGTGGGGGCGCGGAAGGCTCTGTCCAGGTGAGTGGCTCCGGGCTGCTGAGCGGTCCCGCGTTGGTGAGTGGGCGCATAGGAAGATGAGGAGGGCCGAGGCCAGAGGGGCCCGGGCTAGGTGGGCTGCTTCGGGGAGGAGCCCTCTGCTTGTCAGGCTGAGGCATCAGAGGGGACTGATGATCCAGAAACTGGATGAAAGTGACTCGTCCGCCCCATGCCTGATGGCAGAGGACCAGTTTCTGGCTCTTTAGCCACGGGAATTGGGGTGGTGGTGGTAGTGGCGTGAACATCCGGAAGGATTGAATCTTCATGAAAAAGTTGAGTTTTGCTTTGTGATAAGTGAAACCAGAACCCAGATGGCTACTAAGTCCTGGAAAGTTATGTCGTGGAGAAATGAGAGTGGCTCAGATATTTTATTGGATCCTTTCAGATGTTTTATTGGATCCTTTTGTGTATTCTCTCACTCGCGTGTTTACTTTTTCAGATATCCGTACTCCTTAAGAATTTGCTATGAGCAGTAGAACTCATGTCCCTTGAAAAAAAACGTGCATTTTCTCAACATATTGAATTAAATAAAAGAACATAGAACTAAAAAAAGGATTTTAGTTCATTCACTGAAATCTTCTTTGAATTAACATGAACAGGATTAAGTAACTGTGGTCTAGAAGGGTCAGGAAAGGAGGCCATGGGAAACAGGTAGCAGATTTTAAAATGTAGAGAGACCGGGGGACCTTTAAAGAGGGGTCACCGATATTGAATGGGGTTTTCTGAAGTAGCTGCTGAAAATGGCGATATTAGAATGTACGTACCTGTGATTTATTTTTTGCCCTCCAGGAAGGTACATAAGTGCTTTCTGTGTAGTCAGTGTTTCGGCTTCCTGTGTTTGCCAGCAATAACAAGGAGATGTCTTAGAGTTTCCGTTGGAACAGATTGGGGATTTTCGTTGTGTGGGTTCTGTATGGTAGAATAATTAATTTGCTTTTCTGGGCATGTAAAATTGCCCTCCTCGAAGTTATTTGCAGTATCAAGCATGTCTATCACTAAAAGCACTTTACTATTTTATATATATGTAAAATATTACCTATTATATTACATATATAGTATATATAATATATGCTATATATAATATTACATATACATATGCACACACACATATATATTTTATATGATCTCCCTATGTAACCCAGGAGGCTTTGAACTCCTTTGGTTCTGCCTCAGCTTCTCAGATAATGGAGATTACAAGAATTTTCCCTCTGTTCTCATCTCATAGATTCAGTGTTCTTGCTTTCCTTTTTCATTGTTTTGTTTATTTCTTTGCATGAGATGCGCATGCTGTGTGTGCACCTGTCAGGCCTCCCATGCTGGGGGCTGAAGGCAACACTTGATGTAGTGGTTCTCTCCTTACAGCTCTGTGTGGGATCTGAGGACCAAGCTCGGGCTGTCATACTTTACCCGCTGGACCACCTTGCCAGTCCTTGCTTGCTTTCCTGAAGGGCTTGTTCAGTTGAACCTCAGTAACTTTTGTGTTGCGATGTGTCCACAGCTAGGAGGCATTTACTCAACAACACTGGGGTCTGAAAGCTTAGTCCGAAGGACTGACTTCCCAGGGCTTTTCAAGGATGAGCATAAGCAAACATACTAAGGAAGGAGGACACGGGGAGATTTGGCACGAAAGCAAACTCCCCTTCATAGTGTTGGTGTGCCCGTTAGAAACGCTTGAGTTTCACGCTGCTTCCTGTTAGTAACCGGATTCTCAAATCAGCATACAGTTCTTTTTTCCACAGTGAGCAAAGTGTGTATGTGTGTGGGAGGGGGGGGATAAAAGGTTACTTGGAATGTAACATTTCATACAGTATGTACTTTGATGGATAAAGGAAGGAAGGGAATTAGGGAAGTTGCTGGCCGATGAAACAGTTTGAAACTTTGGATGTATGGTTGAAACTGGCTTGTCTGAGGACTTGAGCTCAGTGCTTGCCTAGCATGCACAAGGCCCAGGGTTCAACCCTTAGCACCACAAACAAACAACTAGATAGTAGTAATATCCGCCTACACACAGCTAACAAATGGCCAAGCAGTTCAACCTTTAACTGCTTTAATTTTTTTTTCAAGTTCTATAGAGATGGTTTGAGAAAGTGCCCTATTAGTTTTTTGCCAACTTGACACAAGCCATTGTCATTTGAGAAAGGGAAATCTCAGTTGAGAAGATGCTCCCACCAGGTGGGCCTATGGGACATTTTCTTGATTGCTGATTGATGCCTGAGGGTCCAGCCCACCATAGGTAGGGCTGCCCCTAGGCAAGTGGCAAGAAGGCAGGCTGAGCAAGCCTTGAGGAACGAGCCAGTAAGCAGTGCTCTCCCCTGGCCGCTGTTTAGTGCCTGCTGTGAGTTCCTGCTCTGACTTTCCCGGAAGATGATGGACTACAAGAATAAGCTGAAATAAACCTTTTCCTCCCTGTGTTGCTTTTGCTCATGGTCTTTTTTGTTTGTTTGTTTTTTGAGACAGGGTCTCAGTGTAATGGTCCTGGCTATCCTGGAACTCCCTTTGTAGATCAGGCTGGCCTCAAATTCATAGAGATCCGCCTGCTTCTGCCTCCCTGGGATTAAAGTTGTATGCCACCACATCTGGCTTGGCCATGGTCTTTATCATGGCAGCAAAAAACAAAGACAGAAAGGAAGAATAGTCAACTTTGGGGGTCTGAGAGAAGAAAGTCACTGTTATCCTACAGTGACAGGTTTTTCCTCACCAAGCATTTGTGAAACATGATTTCTTTGTTTGGGACTGAGTGCTAGATTTCTGGTATGAACCACTGCACCTGGTTTGGGACCATCTTTTATTTTTTATTTTGTTTAAGATCAGCTGAGAATTTTGCATCTAATTATAGCTTTATTTTTAGTTTCCTTTTAGACCATGGCAACATACCTGGAGTTCATTCAGCAGAATGAAGAGCGAGATGGTGTGCGTTTCAGTTGGAATGTGTGGCCTTCTAGCCGCCTTGAAGCCACAAGAATGGTTGTTCCCTTGGCTTGTCTCCTTACTCCTTTAAAGGAACGCCCAGACCTGCCTCCTGTACAGTATGAACCTGTGCTTTGCAGCAGGCCAACCTGCAAGGCTATTCTCAATCCACTTTGGTATGAATGCTTTAAAAACCTGGTAAAATAAGAAATAATTTGTCATCTTTATGCAGTTCTCATAAAAGTCACTTGATTTCTGTAGAAGAGTTTCCTGTTTGAGGTAAGAGTAAGTGGATGCTAAGATTCTTAGAGGATGCTTGCTCACGGGAACCTCTCTGGTCAAACACTTCAGATCAAATAGGAATCTTTTTGTTTGCTGTCTTTTTTGAGGCAGATCTAGCCCTGGCTGTCCTGGAATTCACTATGTAGACCTAGCTGGTGTCCACCTCACAAAGATCCTTCTGCCCCTGCTTCTGCCTCCCAAAAGCTGGGATTAAAGGTGTTTCTGGGAGGAACCTTATTTGAACAAGGGGAGGAACAGATGGGGAGAGTTTGGAATTGTTTTTCCTTCTATTCCTCCCTTCTTTCTTTTCCTTCCTTTCTTACCCTCTCCCAGATTAGCAGTTTGCTTCTGGCTTAATTGTAGACTTTGAGGAATGGCTTTCTTTCTTTTTTTGGTTTTTTGAGACAGGGTTTCTCTGTGTCCTAGAGCTTATTCTGGAACTTGCTCTGTTGACCAGGCTGGCTTTGAACTCACAGAGATCCGCCTGCCTCTGCCTCCTGGTTGCTGGGATAAAAGGTGTGCACCACCACCATCTGGCCAAGGGATGGCTTTTAAAGCATTTAAAAAAATTAAAAAATTTTTCTCTTTTTATACATCCCCTATATGACTATGTGTATGTCTGGAAGAAGTAGTAGACAGAAGAATTTGTGTGTGTGTGTGTGCGTGTGTGTGTGTGTGTGTGTGTGCGTGTGTGTGCCTACACAAGTAGGCATGCATATGTGCATGCCATTTGCATGTAGGTACCTGTGGAGGGCAGAAGAGGGAGAAGAATTTCTTGGAGCTGGAGTTACAGAAGAGTGGGCTACCTGGATGGATGCTAGGAACTAAACTTGGGTGGAAGAGCAACAAGTGCTTGCTGTTAACCACTAAGCTGTCTTTCTCTGGCAGAAGAAATTTGACTCCCAGTAATTTTATTGTTGAGTGAATTTTTTTTTAAACCTGAGATTCTATTCTATTCATATATTTGGGCACTATTGGAAATACTTTTTTTTTTCTTTTTTTTGTGGTAGAGTGTTCATGTTGCATAACTTGGTCTCAAACTCGAGGATTTGTGTGGCCCTCCGGCATCAGGAGGAGGCTATAAGACAGTGGAAGTGTACCACCATTCATGGCTGAGGGATTCTGAAGCAAATTGAGAGTGTTAAAAGTTTTGTATGCAGAAGCACCTTTTCCTTTATTTCATTTTTTTTTCTTTATCAAGCCCATATTAGGAAAGTCTCTACCCTGCTTGTAAAATGGTAGCCATTGGCTAGGAATACCCTAAAAAATTCACAAAGGGAGAAACAGCAATAGATGCTTTATCATGAACTATTTCTTTTTTTTTAAATATTTATTTATTATGTATACAATATTCTGTGTGTATGCCTGAAGGCCAGAAGAGGGCGCCAGACCTCTACAGATGGTTGTGAGCCACCATGTGGTTGCTGGGAATAGAACTCAGGACCTTTGGAAGAGCAGGCAATGCTCTTAACCACTGAGCCATCTCTCCAGCCCTATCATGAACTATTTCTAGCAGCTTTACCAACCTGGAACCATACTTTCTATGGCCTAAGTATGAAATGTGATTTCATTGAAATTGAAGGTTGTATATAGGGGCTGGAGATTGGTGGCTCAATGGTTAAGCATTTTTGCTGCTACTGTAGAGACTCATGGTTATGTTCCCAGTACTTACATGTAGCTCAGCCTTCTGTATCTCCAGTACCAGGGGATCCTTCGCCCTCTTCTGGCCTCTGCTAGTCATGTGTGTGCCGCACATACATACAGGGAAAAAACACATACACTTCAAATAGTTAAACAGATCTTTAAAAAAGTTTACATTGTTGAAAACGTTGGGTCTATCTTGACAACCAAGTTAAAATGAAGGCAAAAGGAAAAAGCTTATAGTTTATGTGAGTGAAGAAGTCTTTTTTTTTTTTTTCTTCTTTCTGGATTTTCAAGACAGGGTTCCTCTGTAGCTTTGGAGCTTGTCCTGGAACTAGCTCTTATAGACCAGGCTGACCTTGAACTCGCAGAGATCCGCCTACCTCTGCCCCCCCCCCCGCCCCCCTCCCCCGAGTGCTGGGATTAAAGGCCTGGCTGTGAAGAAATCTTAAAACATGATCATAGACATGAAAAAGACAAAAAAGAATTTACTAATTTGAGGGAATTTTTTGGTGTACTTAATAGCTAGTTTACCCTGCAGTCAATCTCACGAGCTCTTCTGTATATGCACACTCAGAGGAGCACATGTCTGTCTAATTTACAGAACTTTAGTCTACATTTGATTGCTTTCCTGCTTAGAAATAAACCTCTGTGATATTTATCTTTCTTACAGTCAAGTTGATTATCGAGCAAAACTTTGGGCTTGCAATTTCTGTTTTCAAAGAAATCAGGTATGTAATTTAAAACAACATATATATATGTGTGTGTGTATATATACACACACACACACATTTTGTTTTTGTTGTACTACTCTGGAAAAGATTATATCAACTTACATTTCTATCTACACTGGTGAATAGCACTCTTTGGTGATCTCAGGTAATGGCTTTTGTTAGGCACATTGTTTTTGAATAGTAGGGGACATATAAAATTCTCTGATCTTTCTAAGTTTTTTTTAGGAAGTAAATATATTACCTAAAGAAAATAGATTTGCTGTTTATATTTTATTGGATCACATTAATTTCTTAATTAGATGATGCATGTTATTGAATTTTCATGTAACTTTAGGGGTCTAGCGTCAGTGTTGAGCTCCTTCTGCTTTGAAAGTGTCGTTTTGCTGAGTGGTGATGGTGCACACCATTTATCCCAGCACTTGCAGATGGATCTCTGAGTTCGAGTCCAGCCTGGTCTATAGAATATGTTCCAATATAACCAGAGCTACAGAGAAACCTGTTTCAAGAACAACAAACAAACAAAAGTGCCATGTCTTTTACCCTCTCTCCCCTAATAGGGTTTTCCTGTGTTGCCCTGGCTGTCCTGGAACTCAGAGATCTCCCTAGCTATTAGCTGGTCAGCTTTTTAGACCACTCAAGTACCTTAGACAGACAAGGTGCAACAGCAACATAATGCTACAAATTAAACAAATGCAGCATAAACAAAGCCAACACACTTTAACATAATTAAACAAATGGAGTAGAAACAAATGTAACACATTTTTGCCTAGTTAAAGCAATATTCTGCAACATAAACAAATGTAATACATCTTTACATAGTTAAAGTACTGTTTCATAACATTGTCCTTGGCCCCTCCAGCTCTTACAATCTTTCCTTCCCCTCTTTAGTATTCCCCAAACTTGGCCTAATGTTTGGCTGTGGATCTCTGGATCTGCTTGCATCAGTTGCTGGATGAAGCCTCTCTGATGACGATTGGGCTAGGCACCAATCTGTGTGTAAAGCAGAATATTGTTAGGCATCATTTTATTGACATTTTTCCCCCTCCAGGCATGTTTGGTTCTATCCTAGGTCTCTGGGTCATCCAGCCTGTGGGTCCTGGCGCTGGTCCAGGAAGTGTTAGGGGTAGACTTACTCTCCGGACACGGGTTTTAGGCTAGCCTTTTGGCCAAGATCAAGTGTAATATCTATTTTTATCAGTAAATCTTTTTTAAGGTTATATGGCCATAGACATGTAAGAAAATTAGAAGCTTTGAGTACTAATATTTGTGTTTTAGCAAGATGTTTTTTATTTTGTGCTTTCAGAATTAACGTGGTCATAAATCAGTATTATAAATGGAACAAAAGTGTACCATGAATATTTGGAACTGGAGCTCAGAAGTGGTACATTTGCCTATGCCTAGGCTAGCTCCAGCACAAAGAAAAAAGTGGAACACAAATCGCTTGTAGCCCTAATTAAATGTTGTTTTGTTTTCTTCTCATTAGTTCCCTCCAGCATATACAGGAATATCTGAGGTGAACCAGCCTGCTGAATTGATGCCTCAGTTTTCAACAATTGAGTACGTCATCCAGGTAATTTTGTCACATGTTTAATAAACACTGTTAAAATTGAGTTTCTTTTGAAATACTTGGAGTGATACAGATCTCTCACCTGTCCGTGAAAGTAAAGCTGGTGTCCATGGAGCAGATTCTAGAGAGTATGTTACAGTACATTTCGTTACTGGCTTTGTAAAGTAAAGCTGGTATCCATGGGAGCAGATTCTAGAGACTATGTTACAGTACATTTCGTTACTGGCTTTGTTTTCAGGTCTCGACCTAGGCTTTAACAAAGGTGGAACTGACAGAATTAAAGCATGTCTCCACAGCCTTCTCCATCTCACTTGATAGGTGGTCAGCTTAAAAAAATTTATAGTGCCTCCTCCCTTCCTGTCGCTGGTCCCTGTATGGTAGAAGGAGAGATAGGCTGGCAGGGATTGTCTGGCCCTGATGTAAATTCTGTAGTCTGGTTCTTTTCCCACCTCCCTGATCTTAGCTGTTTCCTCTGGCTCTCCCTAAGCATTCTGAGACTTAGGCCCCTCACACACCCTGCCCATGATCTTCCTATCTTGAGCATGAGTCTGGTGAAATCAACAACCAAATGCAGCCGAGGAGATGAACAGTGGCTAGCCTGGCCTAGAAGAGTTAGACCTACCCCTTCCTGTTCTCACCATTGATTTCTTTCTTCCACATCCCCCGTCTTATTTAGTAGGCCATCCACTGAGTCACTATTCAGAACATACCTAGATTCTACCCCCCACATCTTCTTGTCCCCAGCCATCCTGGGCCATCTGCCTCCTCTCACTAGATACGTACAGTATCTTAGCTGTTCTCCCTCATTGACCTATGCCTGCTTGTATTTTATTCTTAACCCAGCAGTCATTGTAACTCTCTAGAAACATGTATTATGTTACTTCTCTGCTCAGAAGCCCCCCCTCAAAACAAAAGATAGTCTTACCGAGGCTGCCCTTTTCTTTCTCTCTCTCTTTTATTTTATTTTTTATTTATTTACTTTTTGTGACAAGGTCTCACTATGTAGCCCTGGCTGTCTTAGAACTCAGTATATAGACCAGGCTGGCCTCAAACTCACAGAGATTCATCCGTCTCTGCCTCCTGAGTGTTGAGAATAAAGGTGTATGGCACCATCCCTGGCCCTGCTCCCTTTTTATCACAGGGATCTGCCACCTTCCTCCATCTTAGCTGTTGCTGCTCCCTGGCCTTCCCGCTGGTTGGCAGGAATCTTTGTTCTTTCTGATTAGTTATGTATCCCAGGGTCTGCAGTAATGTGTGGCACATAGTAGGTATTACATATTAAATACATTTTTAGATTTATTTTCGTTTGATGTACTTTGGGTCATTTGATGAGGTGATTAGAAGCTGGTTTAGATTTTTAGCCATACAGTCTGTAGCCCCTGGGATATTTACAGGTATAAAGACTTGCTGTTTTGTACCTAATTTGCTCTATGCTAGCTGGCTGTAGCTATGTGTATACTGATCATTATGCCGTTTTTCTTTGCCCAAAGCGAGGTGCTCGATCCCCTCTGATCTTTCTCTATGTGGTTGACACATGTTTGGAGGAAGATGACCTTCAAGCACTCAAAGAGTCTCTGCAGATGTCCTTGAGTCTCCTTCCTCCCGATGCTCTGGTTGGTCTTATCACTTTTGGGAGGATGGTGCAGGTTCACGAGTTAAGCTGTGAAGGAATCTCCAAGAGTTACGTCTTCCGAGGGACCAAGGATTTAACTGCAAAACAGATACAGGTTTGTGCTTTGTTGAGAAGGACCAAGGGTAGATCTGTGATGCTTATTGTTTATTTTAAGTGTTACTGGAAATTGGATCTTTCTGTTTTTCCTTTTCAGGATATGCTGGGCCTGACCAAGTCAGCTATGCCCATGCAGCAAGCAAGGCCTGCTCAACCTCAGGAGCAGCCTTTTGTTTCCAGCAGGTGAGCTATCAGTACATAGTGTTACATGTTCTGTGGTGGGCATGCCTGACAGCCCAGGAGAGCAAGAAGAGCGATGCTAGGACTTCCGGTCCCATAGTTTTAAGAAAAAGAATTAAAGACTAGACCCAGTTGCTATCAATGTCCTATAAAAACATTTTGACACTGTTTTCATTGGTCTCCTCCTTTTGGACACATGGCTGTTATCGTTGATCCTTAAGTAAAGCTGACAAAACAAAAACCACTTCTTTTGGGTACTTTGAAATAAACTTGTGAACAGGCACTCACTTCCTTCAGTTGACTGAAGGCCTGTGGTTGCCTTCGGCCAGGTTAGCCGCCAGCAAATTGTGCTGGAGACAACCTCCACTCTGGTGGGAAACCAGTGTTTTTCTCAGCTTCTAAGGCTCTAGAGGCATGTGAACGGAAGCTTCAGCATGGTAGAGACTGTCCACAGAAACAAACTGGATTTATTATTAGGATTTCTTTGCTGCTTAAAATTTAATTGAGCTGACATTTTCCTTTTCAGTTTGATTTCTTAATAATACATGTATAAAATTGTGATTATTAGATTTTATAGTATATTTCATATTACAATTGCTTGGAATTGCTTTTGTGTTTATAGAGATAATTTTGAAGGAAAAGGATTGAGTTTTTGCTTTTGAATAATGGTTCTGAAAAGCAGTTGACTGGGTGACCTAGGGTTAAAGGAACTTTACTAAATCACAACTGATGTGCCCTTTTGGAATCATCCAGATTTCTGCAGCCCGTTCACAAGATTGATATGAACCTCACTGATCTTCTGGGGGAGCTGCAGAGGGACCCATGGCCAGTAACTCAGGGGAAGAGACCTTTGCGGTCCACTGGTGTTGCTTTGTCCATTGCTGTTGGATTGTTGGAGGTAATTGACATTTTTATAGGGACTTCTTACATCATACAAGCTGTTCTTGATAGCTCTGTTTGAAAATTTCTTGTGCTTTAAGTCAGGTCATTGTCTGTATATCCAAAAGTGTTCTAGTCACTATTATGCACATTGAGGAGGCCCTCAGTATTTTGAATACCAAAAATTTTATGAAAAACTACGGGAATGGGAGTAGTGGAAAGTACTTTTACTAAATAAACTGCAAAACCACCTGGTTGGGAGAAAGTAATCGCTGCTTTTCTCTGCTGTCATGCGTGTTACTCCACGGCAGGACGGTGGAGAGTTCGTCTTTGGAGTATTTTATACGTAAATGGAAGCCATACTTGGAGGGGGTACTGTATGCTTCTACCATAGTCTTCACTCTGTTTTTAGGGTACTTTTCCAAACACTGGAGCCAGGATCATGCTGTTCACTGGAGGCCCTCCCACCCAAGGGCCTGGCATGGTGGTTGGAGATGAATTGAAGACTCCTATTCGTTCCTGGCATGATATTGAGAAAGATAATGCGCGGTTCATGAAGAAGGCGACCAAGGTAGGCACTGCTGAGTTCCAGCTGCAATTGCAGAACAGCCAGGTGTGGACTTCTCTAGATAAATGATGGCTACTTTTCTGAAGTCAGAAGGTGCTTGTATAGTGACTCTTCCTGATCTTGGCTCCCATTAACTTGTCTCCATCTATGGCTCTGGTTAGAGAGAATGTTTCTAGAGTTTTGCATCTAAAGCTGTATTTTTATTCTATGTGGTTGTTTTATAGACAGCGAATTCTATGCTCCCTTTCTTGATTGCATCCTTAGGTGTATTAAGACATGCCTTGGCAATTATGCTTCTCTTTCCTAAAGATAGTTTTCTTTTTTTATTTACAGCATTACGAGATGCTTGCTAATCGAACTGCTGCAAATGGTCACTGCATTGATATTTATGCTTGTGCTCTTGATCAAACTGGACTTCTGGAGATGAAATGCTGTCCAAATCTTACAGGGTATGTTGACATGTTCAACTATACCTTCCCTATGGTAAGGGAAGGAGTGAATGATGGAGTCATAGGAGTAAGGGAGGGTAACCTCGGAGCTTTCAGGTCGCTCAGCTTTGCGTTCATTGGCTGGAAAGGGAGTATGGGCCCTGTGGAGGAAGACGTGGTGCTTAGCAAGAGGTCTCAGGATTTCACCAGGAACAAACCCCATCAGAGTAACTGTTTCTTTGAAATTGTTAAACTTACCTGAAATCTAGTGCTGTGCTAATGTGGAGTGCCCACTGGCCTTCAGCTGTGCACATCTTTGTGGTGGGCAAACAATAGCATCCGAGTGTCAGAGTGTCATGCCATTAGAAGGAACCTGACCTGGCTAAGTGACTGTGACAGGTGCCAGTTACACACCACGTCAGTATTGTCCTTAACTAAAAATGTAGAATTAATTCTCAGGTTGCGCCGATGACGGGACTAGGAACCATAGGGCTTATGGAACAGATTAGGAATGTTTTTTGACTTTCCTCAGACCCTCTGAATCAAGAGCTCTTGGGGAGTAACTGTCTTGATTTTAGTGTTCATGAAGTTCAGAAAGCACTGAGGTAGAGGCCAGAATCTGTAGTTCAGATACATGATGGTGTCGACTAGGGAACTTCAAAGACTCTAGGAAAAGAGTAAAGAACAAGGCAAGCTGCTCTGTCTGTCCTGTCCCCTGGTATAATTAACATGGGGCATGGCTTAGGCATCAGCATTCTTCAAGTTTTCTTCCAGTGATTCTAGCATAGAGCAGAGTTTGAGCACACACAGCCTTGGTTTCTCTGGGAGCTCATTAGAAGTGCGGCCTCTTAAATCTCATTTCTCACTTGCTGAATCAACCCACATTTGCCCAAGTCCTGTTCCCTGGAATACATGGCATAGTTTGAGGAGCATCTACAGAGAACCATGACTGGGGCCAGAGAGACTGCATTTCCTTTGCCTTGTTTCTTTAACTTAAATTTTATTTATTTATTTGTTTACTTATGAGTGTACGTGTGTGTCATTGTACACTTGAGGTCTGAGGACACTTTGTGGAGTTTATGTGTGTGCATGTGTATGCATGTCAGTGCACACATGTGGAGGTCTGAGGACACTTTGTGGGAGTTAACTGTCTTCTTCCAGTGTGAGGACCCAGGGATTGACCTTAGGGTGTTAGTCTTGGTAGCAAACGCCTTTCCCTCTTTTTTTTTTTTTTTTTGGTTTTTTGAGACAGGGTTTCTCTAGCTTTGGAGCCTGTCCCGGAACTAGCTCTTGTAGACCAGGCTGGCCTCAAACTCCCAGAGATCCGCCTGCCTCTGCCTCCCGAGTGCTGGGATTAAAGGCCAGCGCCACCACCGCCTCCTTTCCCTCTTGAACCATCTCCCTGGTCCGTATTTCTGCTTTTCTAATCAACCTCCCTAGTGATTTTTTGTGCTCTTTTAGGGAAGGTGTAGGAAGTAGAATCTGAGCCACTTGAACCTGATTTGGAGAGTAGGACAGATTGAGCCAACTGTAATAGGTTGGGTCTTAATGGACCTGGTAGGCATATCTCTACCCATAGCACTCTAGAGGATCTTGAGTTCAAGGCTAGCCTTGGCTGTATATCAAGAAGTTGACTTTAAAAAGAAAAAGCTCTCCCCCACCCCATAGAAACTAATTACATACACGCTGGCAAGATGGCTCATCAGGTAAGTGTGCCTGCTTGCCTCCAAGCCTGAGACTTGAGTTCAATCCCGGGACTCATGTGGAAGGAAACAAACAATCCTACAGATTGTCCTCTGAGCTCTGTGCCCTCCCTGGCTTATGCATGCCTATTCATAAACACACAAACACACATACATAGAGATGGATACATGTAACCCCCCTTTTTAAAAAAAAGGAAGGAAAAGAAAAGGAAGAAACAACAAAACAGGTTCTGGCTGAGTAGGATGACCTCAGTCAAAGGCATGGTGACCAGGCTGGACTAGAGGAGCAGCGGATGCTTTTCTAGGACACTCAGATTCCCTCAGTGCTTGTTTTCCCTGCTGAGATGCTATATACTATTTCCCTTTGAGCATTCGGTTTAAAGGGGTCTCATGATGACCTGGAGATGCCTGATGGGGAGGGAGGGAGTGCTGGGTGCTGCTCCAAATGTTTGAGGTGGAGAATGATTAGAGTGAGAGAGAAAAGCCTAAACATCTTTACTGCCTGCAGCCAGGTATATGTGTGCATGCATGTTTGATTACGGTCTTACTGGCGTAGCCCTGGGTGGCCTCAAATTCACAATCCTGCTTCAGCCTCCTGAGTGCTGGAGTATAGGAGTGTGCCACCACATGTGTAGCATTTGATTGCAATAATTGCAGACTGATGGGAATTGTGAGTTTTCCCACTCTTCACTTAGCAAATGGAAATAGCACAGTGCAGTCAATGGCACCACAGATCTGTGTGGATTTCCCTGCTTGTTTTCTTTTTCTTTTGTGAGAATAATCAAGGAGATTTTTACCATATCTGAAGATTTGTGTCTAGTGATCAAAATATAGAATTGGTATCTTAAATCTTATAACATATTTTTACATTTACTTTTTTGGAATGTGAGTGTATACGTGTATGTCTCTGAATGCACACGTCATGGCACTTGTATGGATGTTTGAGGGCTCTCTGTGGGAGTTAATTGCCTTCCTGTACCATGTGGATCCTGGGATTGATTGAACTGAAGTTATCAGACTTAGGGGTACCCTTACCCACTGAGCCACCTTCCCAGCCCCCTAGAACTGCCATAAGGATCTTTTTTTTTTTTAAATGTTTTTGAGATACTTTCTTTGCTAAATACAAATTGACCTTGGTATTTTTCATTTAAGCTAATCTGTAGCACCTGTGTGGTCATGTTTTTCTTTGTGTTTGTGAATATAAGGGAACAACCGAATGGCTTCCAGTTCTCTTAAATATGTACTTTCCCCTTTCTTACCTAGAGGCCACATGGTGATGGGAGATTCTTTCAATACTTCTCTTTTCAAGCAGACATTCCAAAGAATTTTTAGTAAAGACTTCAATGGAGATTTCAGAATGGCATTTGGTGCTACACTGGAAGTAAAGGTACAGTAGACTTTTAGAAAAATTATTTTAAATTAGCTTATATAATTAGTTTATGGAATTTTCATATATACATGATAAACATTTTCTTATTTATTATTTATTTGAGACGGGGTCTCACTGTGTATCCTCAGCTGGCCTGGAATTTACCATACAGACCAGGCTGGCCTCAAACTTACTTTATTTTGTAAGTTTGAATTCACTTCAGTAAAGTGAATTCAGTCTTTAAAATCTCCATTTGTGCAGGCAGTGGTGGCTCATGCTTTTAATCTCAGCACTCGAGAGGCAGAGGCAGACAGATGTCTGTGAGTTGGAGCCCAGCCTGATCTACAAAGTGAGTTCCAAGACAGCTAAAGCTAAAGCATTTGTTTGAAAAAAAAAAAAAAAAATCCGGAGGCAGGAGAATCTGTGAATTTGAGGCCAGGACTATATATAGAGGCCCTGTCTATTTTAAAAAAAAAAAAAAGAAAATATCCATTGGTCTTATCATTATGTTGGAATGTTGGGATTTGTGAATTAAGTATTTTTAAAATAATATGTTTACTGGTTAGAAATCTATGAGTATGCATGGCTGGTGTGATGGTGCAAGCCTGTATCCTGGCACTTAGGCAGAGGCAGGAGGATTGTGGGTAAGAGCTCACTTGGGCTGTCTAGAGATTTCCAGGTTAGTCTCAGCTTCAAACAGATGAATAGTGTGAAAATGCTACCTTACCGTGTCTTTGTTCTTTCCAGACAGGGTTTCTCTGAGTAATGTAGCCCTGACTGTCCTGGAACTCACTTTGTAGACCAGGCTGGCCTCAAACTCACAGAGATCTACCTGCCTTGTCTCCCAAATGCTGGGATTAAAGGCCTGCGCCACCATGGCTCGGCTTTTTGTTTGTTTATTTTTGTTTATACTGTGTCTTTTTATTTTGATTTTTAAGACAGTCTGATGAATTCAAGCTGGTGACCAATTCACTGTCTAGAGGCTGGCCTTGTCCTGATCTTGTGCCTCAGCCTGCTAAGTATGACTGCTGCGCCAGTGCCCCTGGTCTCTTGACGTGCTTTTGAAGAAGGTGGCTTTGTTGCAGCTCTGATGAGTGCTAGTGCTCCTGGAAAAGCCTGAGTGGGCATTTGGATGGTGCAGTTCAGTAGAGAGTTTCCCTGGGATCTTTCCTCTGGTGACGGCAGACTGGCTCTTAACTTACTGTGTAATTTGTTTTAGACTTCTCGGGAGCTGAAGATTGCAGGAGCTATTGGTCCATGCGTGTCTCTGAATGTGAAAGGACCATGTGTGTCGGAAAATGTAAGGAAAGGCCTCACCCTCACCTGTCCTGGAGTAAACTCATTAGCGAAGTCACATCCTGATGATCTTGCTTTGTGTCAGTGTGGGCTGTACCTGTATGAGAGGAGCTCTAATCCTTCATGACAACTCCAAGAGGGAGTGTCTTCTGTCTGAAAGACCAGAGAAGGAAATGTGGAATCAGAGAGGTTAAAACAACCCTTGCTCAGGGTTGACGCTGAGCCAGAGGAGCTAGATCTCAGGTTCTTCTGAGTACATCTGATGTATATAGATGCTATCCCATCGAGAACGAAAAGCCATTCCCTACAGCAAAGACAGACATTCAGAATTCTTCCAGAATAACCTGTGTGCCTCAGAGCTTAGAATTGGTTCCCTTTGTCTGACTCACTTGATGAGGAGCTCAGTACAAGGAACCACTGAGTTGGTTGGACAGTGGATGACACAGATGCGTATGCATTGTTAATGTGTGAGAGCAGAGTTCAGTCATCCCTTGGGTAAGTAGCTTTGCTGATGGCCCACTGCTGTAAGTATGCTTTAGCTGAAAAGACACAGCATCTGGTTTATGAGGTCCCTTCTGTGTTGGTTACATGCCTACATACATGATGTGGGAGTGTCATATATCAATCTGTTGATTTCATTGGCTGAGCAATAAAAGAAACTGCTTGGCTGGCCCTCAGCTTAGAACATAGATGGAAGGAGTAAACAGAATAGAATTCTGGGCGGAAGAGGAAGTGAGGTCAGACTCTGCTCTGCTCCCGGAGACTCAACAGCTCTGCTCTCTGGAGCAGAGACACCATGATGGACGGAGGCTAGAATCTTCCCGGTAAGCGCACCTTGGGGTGCTTACACACATCATTAGAAATGGGCTAGTCCAGGTGCGAGAATTAGCCTGTAAGGGCTAGAGTTCATGGGCCAAGCAGTTCTTAAATGAACACAGTTTGTGTGTTGTTATTTCGGGCATGAGCTAGCCAAGCGGCCGGGGTGTTGGGGACGCAGCCCCGCCGCCGCTCCTATTTCAACACATACATAACCATAACCTCGGAGGTATGGAAGTGCATCTGTGTTACATCAAGGAATGAAATCATAGACTTCTCTTTGATTAATTTAATCCAGAAAAAGCTCAAGTTTGAATTCTCCACTTCTCTCTTCTGTATCTTCTGTCTGTTCGTAGTTTATGGTTACTGGCCTGTCTGTAATCTGTGTTTGTCTGAATGCTGTCTGGGTGTCTCACTGCCCCTGTGCCTGTCTGCCTCCATTGTATTTATTGAACAGACAAAGGATCCCACTGGAAAGTAGTAAGTGCTTCTTTACAGAAATCACTACCAGTTTTGTAAGGGGAAAGGTCATTTTACTGACCCCAACTGACCCAGAATCACTCATTACTACAAACAAGCTATATCTGTATATTGTTTCTAATATATGTGATGGATATTTGTTGTATAGGTTGTTTCCAGCCTATGAGTTGCTTTCAGCAAATGATTACAAACATACACATATATTACTCTGGGTCAGGGGCATGAAAGAGTACATAATTTAAGATTAAAACTATGCATTAGCTTAGGTTGTAAAAGCTCATTCTTGGACTATCCAAGCCAAGTAAAGTTGGTTGTTCCATTATTTTAAGGTTACATTTAAACATACCAATTACACAGTAGATGATCAAGACGTGTAATATTTGACTGTAATGTCCGGGAAAAGTTCAGTCTTTCTGAATGCAAGAGCTATTTTTATAAAAGTATATCCCTGCCGTTTCTGAGGTAGTCTGGGGATGTTGTTATACAGTCCTGACCTTCCCTTGTTGTCATCCACAGTGGGAGGTGGACTATAGAACTGTTGTGGATTTTGGTGCGTAGCTACTTCTTCATAGTAGCTATGAAGTAGCTTGGGCAAATTCTTAATGCTCTATAATTCAGTGTTTTTAGAAAGATGGGAAATTTGCAGTACTTGCTGAAGAAAGTTAGTTTTTTTTTTTTAAAGATTTTTTTTATTTATTATGTATACAACATTCTGCCTCGATGTATGCCCACACGCCAGAAGAGGGCGCCAGATCTCAGTACAGATGGTTGTGAGCCACCATGTGGTTGCTGGGAATTGAACTCAGGACCTCTGGAAGAGCAGCCAGTGCTCTTAACCTCTGAGCCATCTCTCCAGCCCCCAAAGTTAGGTTTGAAGATAAAGCTAGAGTCTGTTTAAAGCTTCTGTCTCTTGCATTTATTTTCTGAGTGACTTACAGCTCTCTCTCTCTCTGTATGTGTGTGTGTGTGTGTGTGTGTGTGTGTATCATACATTAAAATGACTTAATGTGTCAGTAATTTAAAAGTACTGTAAATACAAATATTTAGACTCTGGTTTGTAATTACACTCTTCCTAGACATTTTCACTGGAGTTTAAAACTTCCGCTCAAGTAAAAGTTCCAAGTGACCTACCCTGCTCATTCACTGCTTTTCATCAGTGGTTTCTTTTGAGTTTCTGTTTTGTATTATATCTTTTTAAAATTACTCTTCTTATCTCTAGGAGCTTGGTGTTGGTGGCACAAGTCAGTGGAAAATCTGTGGCCTGGATCCCACGTCTACTCTTGGCATCTACTTCGAAGTTGTCAATCAGGTGGGTTGACATTTTTTTTTTATGTTATATCTTCTGATTTATTAGAAGGTACTCTCTCCATCCTGGTACTACTTTGGTATCACATTAGACATTGTGCTAATCTGGTGTGCTCTTTCTAAATTCCTTCTATCATTTAGTTAGAATCAAGCAGCAAATGACTTTGTGCTTTATTGTTGAGCTGACAAGGCCCTGAGATGAGTACTTGCTTTTCCCGGCCATCATAATAATACTCATAGATTTTTGAGGGTGTCAGACTTCCCCCAATGTTTTGTTATGAAAAATTACAAAGACGTGTAAATGCAACATCTGCAAAACCCACTAGCTGGATTCTGTAATCAACATTTTACTACAGTTGCATTATTAAATATCTGTTGTTCTGTTTTACTTTTGATGCTTTTGTGGGTAGAGGGGAGATGAGGCAAGGTGTCTTACAGACCTGGGTGGCCTTGAAGTCCTGATCCTTCTGCTTCCATATTCGATATGCTGGAAGTACAGGTGTATGTTACCAAACCTGGCTTATTTTTGATGTATTTCACAGCAACTTGCAGACACCAGTGGCTTTCATCTCTCAATAGTTTGGTACCAATATCATTAAATGGCTTTACTTTTATTCCTTCTGATACTGGAGACTGAACCCAGGGCCTCTTGCATTGTAGGCACATGATCTACCCCTGAGCCACACACCCAGCCCCAGTTCATTTGAATGTGCTAACCCCCCCCTCTGCCTTTAGATAAGAGTTAATATACAATGATCCCATGTAACTTTTAAGTCCATTGAAATGTACCAAGAACCTTACTTCAGTGCTTAAGAAAGGCTGTGTTTTAGTCATGCCTTTGACAGTAACCTGATGTGGCCTCCCACCCTGCAGCACAATGCCCCGATTCCCCAGGGAGGCCGAGGTGCCATCCAGTTTGTCACTCAGTATCAGCATTCCAGCACTCAGAAGCGCATCCGAGTGACCACCATTGCCCGCAAGTGAGCATCTTATTTCTTTCCTCTTGAGTTAAAGCTGATGATTTTCCTGAGAGTTAACCTCTTTGAGTTTGTCTTTCTGATTCCCTTGGATGGTTCTCTCAGCTCCTCACTGACTCACTGATCAGCCATTCCTGACTAACCCAATTGAACCTTTCTCACACTTACCTAGAAGAATCAGCTTTCAATAGGAATATAGTTTATTAAAAATTATCTTTTATTATTTTGTTTGCTAGATAAGTAAATCATGCTTCCTATTAAAGATGTAAACAAAACATAAACATGGTTGGCCCTCTATAGCCATCAGTTTCACATCCATAAATTTAGCCAAACTGGGATGTCAATTATTTTTAATATTACATCTGTATTGAAAATGTACAGACATTTAAAAAATTATTATTCCATAAACAATATAGTATAACAGCTGTTTGTATAGTATTTATGTTCTCGGTGATAATATAGAGATGAAGGAGTGTATGTAGGAGAATGTGTTTAGAATTTTACAAATACCATGCCATTTTATTTATATTTCTTTGTTTTATTTATTTGTTTGTTTGTTTGTTTATTTTGAGATAGGATCTCACTATGTAGCCTTAAATGACCTAGAACTTACTATGTAGACCAGATTTGCCATGAAATCACAAAGATCCAATGTCTTCCTCCTGAGGGCTGGGGTTACAGACATGCACCACCATGCTTAGGTGTACTATGTCATTTTCATTCAGTGACTTGAGCATCCAGGAATTATGATATCTGAGAGGGTGGGTCCTATAATGAGTCCCAGTCGATACTGAAAAATAACTATTTACTTATGGGTGTCTTTACTTACCCGTTCCCAGAATTAAGTCCATGTAAATTTAACGGCACATCCCCATTGCTGTGCTGCTGTACACCATATATGTACGGCAGCTTATTTCCTTTGTGTTCACACTTATATCTATCTCTGGCTCGCATCTCGTTTGTGTTAATGGTCACACACTATTGCATAGATTGCTTGAGATGCTGCCTTTGTTAAAGGGACCTCACGTGCTACTCCAGCAGTGCTGCTTTTATATTTTCTTTTTAGGAATGAATTCACACATGCTAGTATTTTTTTCTTCTTCTTCTTTTAAAAAATTTTTTTGGAGTGATGTTATTCTCCACATGACTGGGAATTGAACCCAGGGCCTCTCTCTCATGCTCTCTCACTTTACTACTGAGCTGCAGCCTCAGCCCCAAGTGTACTTCTTGTCCGCCATTTTATAGTTGAAATTTTAGAAACTGCAAACTTTAGATTCTCAGAGGCTTTGTTTTTTCTTCAGTATGGGCAAGGAGAGTACACTATTACCTCATTAATAGTAGGTATAAATATTTAAATGTAAACAGTAATATCTCATTTTCATTTGTATTTTCCTCTCTCTCTCTCTCTTTGCCTTTCTTTTATATCCAGTATCATGTAGTTCGGCTGACCTTGAATTCATTGAGTATGATCTGGAACTCCTCATCTTTCTGCCTCCGCTTTCCAAGTGCTGAGTTTACATGCAATTGCTTCCATGCCCAGATGTGTAAACTTATTCCTTGTTTTCATTGATTTGCAGAGAGTATTTATGTATTTTGGATTTGTGCTTTTCTATTCCTGGTGTTCCTTTAGCTCTTTTTATCTTTAGTCATCTGAAAAACTCTTAAATATCTTAATTCATTTTTCCTAGGTGATTCCAAGAAGTCATTTTGTAAAGTTGTAAATCCTTAGATTTTTGTAAGGATTAGCCTAGAGGAAGGAGCATTGGGTTTAGGCTTAACCTTTTGGGTGTCTACTGTTGTGTCTGGTGGATTTTGGGAAGTTTTTCTTCTGTGCTTCTAGCCTTCAGACAGCACCTGAGGGTGACTTAAATGATTGTGAAACTTCCTTAATGAAAATGTAGTGCTGCATTGTCTTGGACAAAAGAACAGGATCTGAGCAGAGAGATCTAGTCTCTGGTAGCCCCTGATCAGAAGTGCGGCACTAACTCTGCAATTGTCAGTTGGGCAGATGCTCAGAGTCAGCTGAGGCACATAGAAGCAGCATTTGACCAAGAGGCTGCAGCAGTCTTGATGGCACGGCTTGGAGTGTTCCGGGCAGAGTCAGAGGAGGGACCTGATGTGCTCCGGTGGCTGGATCGGCAACTCATCCGACTGGTAAATTGGGAACAATGGCATTGAGTTTGTGTCTCTTCCCACATAAGCCTATTGTTTTTTAATGTTTAAAACCATTGATTTATTCATTTATTTATTTGTGTGTGTGTGTGTTTTTGTGTGTGCTGCATTGCGTGTGCACACACATGGCAAAGTATGTGTATGTGCACTGAGTGTGTATAGGAACCTGTGGCTGTGGAGGTAAGAAGGTGTTGGATCCCCTTAGAACTGAAGGACTTTTCTAGGTGACACTAACCACTCTTTTTTCCGTTTTCTTTCAACAGTGTCAGAAGTTTGGGCAGTATAACAAAGAAGACCCCGCGTCTTTCAGATTGTCAGACTCCTTTTCTTTGTATCCTCAGGTAAGAGCTATGGTTTTAAAGATAACTATAGAAGAATGCATTGTCAGAACTTTTCTATAATAACAGGCTATCCCACCTCTTTGGACCTCTGTTGAAGCCAGCAAGTGTACAGCGCTTGGATAGTGCTTTGTACATGTAAGCGTCCAGTAGCTGGGTCCTAGGGCTTTCAGGTGCTGTGTCTGAGCAGGATATGGTGGGTAATGGTGTGAAAGAGTTTATCATCTTAACCTCTTTGAAATGTATAATTGTGTGGTATTAAATATATTCACTTTCTTTTTTAAATGATTTATTTATTTTATTTTGTGTGCATTGGTCTTTTGCCTGCATGTATATCTGTGTGATGGTGTCTGATCCCCTGCAACTGGAGTTACAGACAGTTGTGAGCTGCCTTATGGATGCTGAGAATTGAACCCTGGTCCTTTGGAAGAGCAGCCAGTGCTCTTAACTGCTGAGCCATCAGCCCCTACATTCATATTCTTGTGTACCAGAGCTCTATAATTTTTTTTTTATTGTCTTGCTGAGCCAAATGTGGTGACACATGCTTGTAATTTCAGCACTTGGAGGACTGAGGCAGGAGAAAGCCAGGCCAGACACAAAAGATCATCATGTCATAAAACAAGCAAAGCCCACCTGGAATGTAATACCTGTAAAACTGTGTACCCCTTTCCTTGTCCCCAGCTCTGCTGCTGCCCCTCTTGTGTCTCTGAGTCTAGGTTTCGTGTTTTAGAATCCAGAGTAGATGGCTCTGCGTGTCCAGCATCGCAGATGTATCCTTTTGTCTTTTTCTTGTGTGCATGCAGTTCATGTTCCACCTGAGAAGATCTCCATTTCTTCAAGTGTTCAACAACAGTCCCGACGAGTCGTCTTATTACAGACACCACTTTGCCAGGCAGGATCTGACCCAGTCCCTCATCATGATCCAGCCCATTCTCTATTCCTACTCCTTCCATGGACCCCCAGAGGTGAGGCTGGGCATCCGTGCGTGTCTAAGAGTGGCGTGACTTCATCATGAGTGATTTTGGTTGTTTTTCTTTACCAAATAGAGTCTTAGAGCAGAACTGTAAACAAAACCTTGAGTTTATAATGCTTTATATTGTTTCTGAGTATTAAAAAACAGGAAAAGTCAGACGACATCCTAAAGCTGTTTTTGGTGTGTGGAAAGCAGGCACATGTAAGTTGAGGAAACTCACAGTGTTCACATACTTTGTCCTGTACATCCATGCCTTGTGAAGTATCTAAAAGAAATATGAGTATGAATGCAGAGAAGGTTTTATGCAAAGAAACAAGAAAACGAACTACTACAGAGAATTTGGGCTGGTGGAGAGCTTGCCCTGAATACATGAGGACCTGGTTCTGGCACTGAAGAAAAAGGAATCAGATGGCAATCTTCTCAGTAGAAGGAAAACAGTTAAATATTCTAAGAACTAGTCACATAATTTATATAACATAGTAAAACATAAAAATGTAAAAATCAAAGTAGAAACTTTTTTACTTTAGTAAAGAATGTCCTGTGGAAAAGAGGCTGGAGAAATGCAATAGCCTTAAAACCTAACTGAGCAATATATGAGCAAAATTAAAACTGTCCTGAGATGCGTGCAAGAGTGAAGAGAAACAATAAAAAGGAAGAAGTGAAAGATGATTGCGGAGCAAATCGCTGACACACAGTGACAGATGCTCTGGTTCTAGCAGGCCCCACTCGTTGTTGGTGAGGTGAGTGGGACCAAAGCAGAGACACCTTAAAAAATTTATGGAATGGAATGTTGCCCAACTTGCAAATAAAACCAATAACGATTTTTAAAGTAAAAAGGGCTAACAACGAAATAAATTCTTAGTTACTCATACTAAACTAAAAGCCTATAAAAATAAAGAACAATATGGGAAGTAAACCAAAATCTCAGTATTTCTTGTTTTCAACTACAGGTTTTCTGAAATGAGTACAAGTTACTTTTATTATTGAAATAAAATCATAATGAAACCTATTTTGTGGTAAACTTTGAAAGCTTGCATTAAATTCTCTTTTATATAGGCAATCTTGTTCAGTCTAGCTCTAGCTACGGTAGTTGAGAAAAGATGAGCTGATTAAGAGTAGTTCTGGAGCAGCACAGAGAGAGGTCAGATCATGCTCTGGCTTCTAGACCACAAACTAGCATCAGTTTCTTTCCCCGACTGATGGAAGAGTGTCAACAGCCTGTGTCTTCTACAAAGCTGAGATTTAGAGTTATCAGTTTGGGGAGTGGAATGCAGTAGTGTGTGAAGAGGGGCAGCCCTGTGCCAGAACCGTTTGTGAAGAGCTTCCTTGCTTTTTGTGGACTTGTGCATGGGGGGCTGGAGTGGCTGTTGTGTAGAGAGGGAGGACCAATGTCACCTGTCCTCTTCCATAGCCTGTGCTCCTGGACAGCAGCAGCATTCTCGCTGACCGAATTCTGCTGATGGATACTTTCTTCCAAATTGTCATTTATCTTGGTGAGGTAAGATGATATCATCAGTTTCTTTCTTGACTCCTGTTTTGTTTTGTTTTCCTGTTATTTACTTTGATTTATTGTGTGTGTGTGTGTGTGTGTGTGTGTGTGTGTGCATGGCCGGAGAATGGCTTGGGGGAGTCATTCTCTCTTTGCACCCTCACAGACTTCTTCACTGGCAGCCTGATTTGGATGGTGCTAGTGGAAGAATGTCCTAAGTGTTGAAGGCTGCTATCAGTACTTCAACAGCAGTTTTGGTTGCTTTGTTTCGGTGTAGACCATAGCCCAGTGGCGAAAAGCTGGATACCAGGACATGCCTGAGTATGAAAACTTCAAGCACCTTCTGCAGGCACCACTGGATGATGCACAAGAAATTCTGCAAGCACGCTTCCCAATGCCACGTTATATCAACACAGAACATGGTGGCAGTCAGGTGGGTGAGCCCCATTCTAGCTCTAAGGGATTTTTTTTGCTGTTTGATGATCTGTTTTATGGATATTAATATCAATAGACTGGTTACAGTTTTATGTGGTAGCATAAATTTACCTACAGGTATTTTTTTTGGCTATGATTTTTGTTTAGTTTTAGTTGTTTATATTACTTCCAGGCTGACCTGAGGCTCACTGTGTAGTGCAGGTTGGCCCCAAACTCATGATCCTCATACATTTGCTTCCTACATGTCCTGGTCAGTGCCCTATGGCTGTGAAGACACACCATGACCATGGCAACTCTTATTTAATGGGGTGGCTTACAGTTCCAAGGTTTAGTCCATTATCATCATGGTGGGACATGGCGGCATGCAGGCAGATGTGGTGCTGGAGAAGGAGCTGAGAGTGGACATAGAGCTATGTCTCGATCTGCAGGCAATAGGAAGTGAATTGAACTAGTGATAGCTTGAGCATGAGAGACCTAAAAGCCCGCCCCCACAGTGACACACTTCCTCTAACAAGGTCACACCTACTTCAACACAGCTGTACCTCCTAATTAGTGCCACTCCTTGTGAGCTTGTGGGGGCCAATTACATTCAAACTACCACATGTGTGCCTTGCTATGCCTAGTGGTGACTTCTTGTTAAATGGATGTACTAATATGAAAATATAAGATTATCAGTATGTCTGAATCATTTGTAACTGGGGAGCCAATGGGCTTAAGATAAAAGTAATAGATTTCTAAACAGGAAAAAAAAGGGAGAGAGAAAAAAGAGAAAGAAAAAAATCTATTTTAAGCAAATGCAAAAACTTTACTTTTTGTACATTAATATTACTTTTAATCTTTAAAATATTTTTATTTTTAAAGGCACGATTCCTGTTGTCTAAAGTTAATCCATCTCAGACACACAATAACTTGTATGCTTGGGGACAGGTAAGAATTGCTGGGTGTCTGGGGAGAAGGTTAAGCTACTTTTACTTAAAGCTTGTTTGAGCCTGTAAGTTGAGCCTGTTTTGGATCAGACAGAATGACACTGTTATGGTGTGGACTCCAAGTACCATAGTTGCACGGGGAGTAGGGTAAGAGACCTGTGTGGGTCTGGGGGCGGGGCACTGTGCACTGCTGCCTTTGTGCATCTCTCCTCATGCGCATGCCTACAGGACATCTGTTTCCTATTGATCTATCCACGCTTCACTTCCAGCCTTACTCCTTTGCCTAGTTATTCTCTAAATTTGTTTCTCTTTCAAGATCCTAAGGATCTTGAAATGTTTTAATTTAAACTTTGTTTATATTTAAAATTTGTTAAATTTAATGTTTTAAATTAAACTTTGTTCTTGAGATAGCTGTAAGTTTATCTGTAGTTATAAGAAATAATACAAAAAGTTGGGCATGGCTGGGCGGTGGTGGCACACGCCTTTAATCCCAGCACTTGGGAGGCAGAGGCAGGATCTCTGTGAGTTCGAGACCAGCCTGGTCTACAAGAGCTAGTTCCAGGACAAGCTCCAAAACCACAGAAAAACTCTGTCTCGAAAAACCAAAAAAAAAAAAAAGTTGGGCATGGTGGCACGTGTCTTTAATTCCGTTGACCAGCTTGTAGAGGCAGGTGGATCTCTGAGTTCCAGGCTAGCCAGGGCTAGTGAGGCCCTGTCTCAAGAAAATCGAATTATAATAATACCAAGAGATACCCTATAACCAATTTTTAAACTAATAATAGTAACATTCTGAAAAATAATAATTCAATATCATCAATGATATGATGATCTCTCATGGTGTCTTTCATAACCATTACCACCCTCCCCATCCTTAACATTTGGCACTTACTAATCCTTAGCTCAGTATTTCTGTATTCATTATTCAAATTGTTAGGTAGGGCTAGGAATATAGGCCAGTGGGTCAGTGGGAGAGCACTTGCTTAGCATGCACAAGTTTCTGCATTCCATCTTAGCAATGCACACACACACACACACTAAAAAACCATAAACATAAGGTTCATACAGTAGATTACCTGTTATGGTTGTCTTGTTTTGTTTCACTCAAGTGTAATTATCTATAGATTGCTTTATGTTGTTATGTGCATTAATAGTCCATTCCTTTTTATTTGCAGAGAAGTAATCCACAGTATACGTATTACATTTGATTGGGTCATGCATCTATTTAAGGGCATCTAGGATGTTCGCAGTTTTGAGCTCTTAGGAATACAATTGTTATAAACAGTTAAGTACAGGTTTTATTTGAACATGACTTCATTTCTTTGAGATAAAGGCACAAAAGTATATTTGATAGGTTCTATGATAGTTGTGTGTTTAGGATTTTAAAGAAACTGCCACACTTTCTGAGAGCAGCTGTACCTAGCATTGGCTGAGTGATGTAGTTTTGCCAGCATTTGATGTTGTCATTCCTTGTATTTTGGGTATTCTTGTAGCTGTCTAGTGCTCCATCTACCAGGGCCTGTGTAATAGGTCAACGCTGTACTACTGAGCTGCATCTCCAGCCTTTGGTTATTTGAGACAAAGACCTCACAGTGGGATTTTCCTACTTCAGCCTTTACTGTGCTGGCAGTATAGGTGTGCCCCCTAACTCGGCTGTCACTGGCTTTAATTCATATTTTCCTAATGACTGATGATGTTGAACATGTTCATCACAGGTGGCTTGTGTGCTATCTTTTTATCTTCTGTGAAATGTCTCTCCCATTTGTCTATGGTCTAATCAGATCATTTGCTTTCCTATGTTGCTAAGAGTAAGGGTTCCTCCCCCCGGCCCCTCACCAGACATTTCTCTGCATAGCTCTGGCTGTCTTGGAACTCAGTCTGAAGACCAGGCTGGCTTCAAATTTACAGAGATCCACATGCCTTTGCTTCCCGAGTGCTGGCATTAAAAGTGTGCACTGTCACCTCCTGGCTGAGACTCCTCAGTCTCATGTGAGGTCTTTATGCGACTCCTTTTTAGGTGTGTCACTTGTACTTTTATTTGTAACTTAGCTGTTCTCTTTACAAGGCAGAAGTTTTAAATGTTTACATAGCTTTACCTTATTATCAGTTTTTCCTGCTGTGAACTGTGCTTTTGGAGTAAGGTTCAAGAGCCCTTTTTCTAGTCTTAGATCCTGTCTAGTTACTTTTGTATTTCTGTCACAAAGCAACTTATTAAAGAAAATGTTTGCCTGCTGTAGTGGTGCACACCTTTAATCCTAGCACTTGAGAGACAAAGGCAGGAGGATCTCTGTGAGTTCGAGGCCAGCCTGGATGGTGGAACAAAGGCTTGGTGGCAGCAATAGGTGAGAGCTCACATCTTGTTCTACAAATAGGAAGCAGAGAGATAACTCAAAGGGGGGAGGGGAGATGGTCCTTTGAAAACTCAAACCCACTTATACCTTTTCCAACAAGACCACACTTCCTGATCCTCCCCAAACAGCAACTGGAGACTAAGAATTCAGTATGAGTCTATGAGAGCCATTCTTATTCAAATGACCACAGATCCCAAAGATTTTTTGTTTTGTTTTGTTTTCCTCCTGTAATCTTTAAAAAATAGTTTTATGTTGCATTTTAGGCAATAATTCATCTTGATATTTTTATTGTCATTATTCTGAGACGGAGGTCTCTTTGCATAGCCCTGGCTGTCCTGGAACTCACTATATAGACCAGGCTGATCTTGAGCTAACAAAATCCACCTATCTCTGTCTTCCAAGTGCTGGAAGTAAAGGTGTGCGTCACCATGGCCAGCTCTGATTAATTTTTTTTTTTTACGGAAGGTAACTGGGGATTTCTTCTACACATGGATATCTAATCGCTTTGGTATCATTTATAGAAAAAGGCTATTTCTTGGATTGCTTTTTTGTATCTTTGTCAAAGATCATAGTAGGATATACATTGTGAATCTATTTCCTGGTTTTCTATTGTTTTACTGATCTGTGCTTATACCAATACCAGAGCTTTAAAACCACAGACTAGATTCTCTGCACTTTATTCTTTTGAGAAAAACTCTTATTCTAGTTCTTTTGCTTTTCTTTATGAATTTTAGACTAATCCTTTTTTGTCTTTAAAAATGCTTGTAGAGGTTTCATAAGACTTTCAAGCCTATTTGAAGATAATTTGACTGTGAACTTGGTATGACTCTCCTTGTATTAAACCTCTTGATTCATATATTCAAACATGTATTTCCGTCTTAAAAAGTGGTTTTGACTGATGTCTCACTTTATTTTACTTTCTTTGTTTTGAAGCAGGACCCTAGTACAGGCTGACCTGGACTTGATCTTCCTGCCTTAGCCTCCTAGGTGCTGAGATCACTGGTGTTCTCTATTCCTTGCAGTATTTTATTTTATTTTGATAATCTGATTTTCATTGCTAATACATAGAAAAAATATTGTGTATGCTCATCTTGTGTTCTGTGTATTAGTTCTAGGAACTTTTATAGTAATTTTTTGGGATTATCTTCTGAGATAGGCATGCCATCTGCAAGTAGAGCCAGTTTGATTGCTTTTTTCAGTAGGAATGACTTCTCTTTCAGTGAGAACCCCTAGTATCAGGAAATGTATCCCTAGTATCCAGAGACCTTAGGCTTATGGGACAAGCATTCTGCCTTTTACCACTGAGTACAGTGGTAGCTGTAAGCTTTTCCTAGATCTCTTTATTAAATTCTGGAAGGCCTTTCTGTTGGTATTTTTTCTGAGATTCTTGTTATCAGTGAGTGTGAAATATTGAGGTATTTTTTGTATAATCATGATTTTTCCTTTTTAAGCCTTTTACTAAGGCGGATTATATTGATATTTTTGAATATTAAGCCAACCTTATCTTCCTCCCTCCCTCCCTCCCTCTCCTCCCTCCCTCCCTCCCTCCCTCCCTCCCTCCTTCCTTCCTTCCTTCCTTCCTTCCTTCCTTCCTTCCTTTCTTCCTTCTTTCCTTCCTCCTCCTCCTCTGCCTTCTCCTCTGCCCTGGCTGTCCTGAAACCTGCCCTGTAGGCTAGGCCAGCCTCAAACTTACAGATCTGCCTGCCTCTGCCTCCCCAGTGCTGGAATTATAGTTGTGTGCCATCATGCCTGTCTTGGAGTTCATTCTGAGAAATTTGCTGGAATTTTCCAGTGAAACCATCACAGCATAGAGATTTCTTTACATTGCTAATTTACTGTCTATAATTGTTAAAGGTATTCAAATTATCTTTTCCATGTTGAATAATTTGGCAGTTGTGTGCTTTGAGGAATTATTTTTGTTAAGCTTTCAAACACACACATTCTTTATAGTCCAGCTTCATTCTTTATATTAGTATGTTTCATTTTCTTCCCTGTCTTGCTAGAACTTTGGAAGTTTATTTAACTTCAAAACTAGTCAAGGATAAGACCACTACCACAACTGAAAGCCAAATTTGAAGCAAGTTTTAATTTAATACTGACTAGGTGGATGGGCTCTGGCCATGTCCATCTCTGGGTTTCCAGGAAATGGCCCAGAATCAAGAATGGCAAGGGCTTGAAGAAGGAAAACCCATAATTCATTTCATTTTCCATCAGGTCCAATTAGGGGCAAACACATATCCTGACATACTTCCAGCCTACAACCAGTCAGGGGCAAGCGTACTTTCTGCCTGTGAACCTCTCACCCATGTGTGAGCAAGAACGTTGGTGCGGATAGCTCAAACAAACTTGTTAGGGGAATGAAAACACGTGGCTTGTTATCGCCCATAAACCACAACCTCCAGCATTTCAGGAACTGTCTGTATCTGTCCTTGGGCAAGGGGCTTGCAGATCAGGGCATTTTTGTTTCATGGATCTCTAAGGTGTAGTCATTAAAACTTGAATGTAACTTTGCTTTATTTCACTGACTTTTCTCAGCTATCTCTTTGTTTTCAGCCTAACTGACTTCTGTTGTGTTTGCTGTTACTTCCTTCTGTTTGCTTTAGATTTCTTTTACTCTGCTGATAGAGTTTAAATTGTTGGCATGTGGGCCAGGAGAGATGGCTCAGTGCGGTGAGGAGCACTGACTGCTCTTCAGGAGAACCCACTTTGGTTCCCAGCACCCATACGGTGGGTCACAACCATCCTTAACTCCAGTCTTGTGGGATCCAGTGTCCTCTTCTGGCCACCAAGGGCACTGCATGCACATGGCGCACAGACATGCATGCAGGTAAAACACCTCTACATGTACAATAAATAATAAATGAAAATAAATGAATAAAAATTGTCATTATAAATAAAATAAAAAATAAAAAAGCTGTACCCTCTTCTCATTAGTGTTCCCTGTCCACACTGCCGTGGCTGTGTCTCCCAGGTTTCAGTGTTGCTTGTTTCCAACTATGCTGAGTTTTCCTCGCTTCTTGTTACTGATTTCTCTGTAGATTCCATTTGGTTAGGAACATACTTGGTATGATTTCAGTTCTTATATTTGTTGAAGTCTGTTTTATGATCTGGGACATAATCTGTCTTGGTTTCCATAATGTACTTGGAATTGTCCTACCTCTATCATCATAGATTTTTGCTCAGGATTACTGAATTTTAGGAAAGAAAGAAATTATCCAAAACCACTATTCCTAGGTAATAGAAACTAAATATTTCATGATGTACATATGTTATTTCTTTACAAATTTGAGATCTTGGTGCAAACTGCCATTTCTACCCAGTCTTTTCCTCTAGAGAATTAATTAAATCACAAGTACCATCTCTTGGTAGTGTCATTCATTCTCGTGCCTGTGACACCTTTCTGTTATAGCAGAGCACTTTAGAGATAGTGTGGTGCTGGCAGTGGTGTGCTCCATGATGGGATGCTGTACAGACTGGAGGGCTCACAACTGGTGGGAGCCCTGGATGATCTGAGAGAATCTGTAGGACTCTGGGAAGAGATGAAGCAGACCGGCATATACTCGTACACTGTTGGCAGCGGGCAGGAATGACCAGATCTCGGGAAAGGATTTAGAGAAAAGCATGCTTCTGGTGAATGGCATTAGCTAGGCAGAGGATGGGGTAGTGAGGAACAAAGGTGACACCTGTGAATATTCTCAGGCAGAAGGCACCAAGCTGGGAATCCCAAGTGGCTGTTGAGGTCTTTGTCAATAAGCCTTTGTGGTTGCGTTGCAGGAGACTGGAGCGCCCATCCTGACGGACGATGTTAGCCTGCAGGTGTTCATGGATCACTTGAAGAAGCTGGCTGTGTCCAGTGCCTCTTAAACTAACAGCGCAGCCCAGAAGTGGAAGACAGGACTGTCAGACCATCTTCACACTGTTGATATCACCTTAGCAACATTCCTTTCTCCTTTCTGGAAGATTCTAATAAATAACCCAAAGAATTTTTATATGTATATCTTCAGGTTATAATACATCTTCAGGTTATAATTTATTTGTATTCCTTCTCTGCCTGTTTTCCTACATGTGAGATTATATAAGGTCATAAATGTTCTGCTAATTGTAGATGTTTACTCACTTTTTGTACTTTAATGTTTTAGAGTCTTTGTAAAATCAGAGTTTATGTATTGTTGGCTGCTTGTTTAAGTGAACCTTGATGATCATAAAGGAAATAAATCTGGATGAGAAGAGCATTGGCCAAAATAATACTGACACAGATTTTATCTCTGCATGTGTGTGTGTGTGTGTGTATGTGTGTGTGTGTGTGTGTGTGAGAGAGAGAGAGAGAGAGAGAGAGAGAGAGAGAGAGAGAGAGAGAGAGGGTGTGTGTGTGAGAGAG